TTTCCCTAATTGACAAATATTTTTTTTGTTGTATATTTTTCTGATTGATTTATAGGCAGGTAGGCACGAGAAGGAGAAACCCCAACAAAAGCCATTAACAAATAAGCGTTAATGAAAATGTGCACACACACACACACACACACACACACAGAGACACAACCAAGCAAGTCAGCATCACACGCAAAAAAAAAAATAGAAACAAAAAAAAGCTATACAAATGCACAACTCACACACAGCTGCCATTAAAACAACATTAAAAAGTAAAACAAACAGCCATGGCAACTAATTTTTTTTTTTTAACTTTTTGTTTTCCAAGTCGCCGCTGGAGATGATTACATTTCGATAAAAAAAAAAAGAGGGGCAGGAGAGGTGAGAGAGTCTGAGATAGCTCAATGACAAGGTAAACACACACACACACACACTCAATACTCAGGTGACAATGCACAGGTAAGCAGCTAGCAGTGTTGTAAAAGCTTAGCAACAGCGGAAGTGTTGATTAATTGCCGCACATCCGTTGTTGGATAATCGGTTTGCATAATAGAAATAATATTTTTTCAAGAATTTTAAGCTGTTAGGGGAAGGTAATATATCAATACTTGAATTTGTTTATTTAAAATTATTTTTAAACAAATTTTTAAATTTATAAAAAGTATTTATATATTTTTAAAAATATTTCATATATTAATGATATTTAAATTATTTTTCCTCGCATCAACACCTATAATTCCTAAAAAAATTGGTAAAAGTCAGCAAGTGACGTGGTAATATGCACAAGATGCCTAGTCTTAGTTATTTATGATTTTAGAATCATAAATATTCTTAAAAATAGGTCAATCTTTCACATCACCCGTATACTATATCTGTTTCCCCTTCAATTATTATTAAGTGACTTCCCTTTTGATAATTTGACGTCCCTTCATTTCTCTTTTTACTTTATTTCAATTGATTAGCTTCAGCTTTATATACATATGTATGTATTTCCCTTAAAAGGTATTAAGTTTTCTTGGTAAAATCTCGACACCATCTCTGCTGACACCTGAGTCATAGGGGAAAAAATATATATTTAATTTGAATTTGACGCAGTCGTCCCACAACCGCATTATCGCCTTGGTAGTTTACAAAAAATAAATAAAATCAAAAACAAAACGAATGGCAAGGCAAAAACAAATCAGAGAGCAAAGCAAACATCAATTGCACAATTAGTCATTTCTTCAATTAATAATTGACTATTTTTAAATGTGCGCCAGTCGTCGTCGTCAATGATAATAATGTGACGGCGATGATGAGCTTCGGCAATGAGAGTTCAATGATGATGATGAGTTAGCTCAGGTCTTGAACAACTTCAAATAAGGCAGCAAAAGCACATAAAGTCATTATCTTCGATAACACAAAACACGCACGGTTCAAAAAAAATATTATATAAGAGAATTTTAAAGTTCACTTAGAGACTTGTAGAGATCGCAAGGAAATATTTAGTTTATTGCTTAAACCATAAAATGTACATAAAAACAAATTAGTGAAGATCAGTCGAGGTAAATTTTAACTTTTAGTTACTTGCCATTTATGGATTAATTTAAAACTTTAGATATTTACTAAAGATATATTTATGGATTAATTTCAAAATTTCAAGGTTTTAAGATATTTTGTAAAGATAAATATTTTTCCTTTTTTTAGGTAACTTAAATTATTTATAAATACTGATCAAAGCAGCTTTAATTTTTTTCTGTGCACTCTCATGGGAGATTTATCTTGATTTTTTTTTCAACATTTTGTACACCTTGAACTTTGACGCTGTGGCTGCCAGTCTCGATGTTGCGCTGTAGACGACGTCGTCGTTTAACTTCAAGCTTAAGTGCAATGTGTCTGGCGATCTTTCAGTTAAGCGCCCCTTTAACCCCCCCACCCCCTGCCACGCCCCTTCCTCGCTCACCTTCGCAATACGTGGAAACGTGCTCATATACACACACACACACATACTAGGGATTCGTGTAATTGAAGTATTCAAAAATAGAGGAAAAACTGAAAGAGAGAGAGAAAAACAAAAGACGACAAAGAAGAGGCGCAGCAAAAGGTAGAAGAAAAAAGTAGATGCTGCCTAAGCTTGTCTTACTGATTTTGGTATGTGTGTGTGTGTGTGCAGAGTGTGTGTGAGTGTATGCTCAAAAGCTTTCGTCTGCATTTTGTGAACAGCAAAAAGAACAAAGTGAAAACAAGCAAATAAATGGGTGTTTAGAGGCAGAGGCTACCCTGGAGATTGTATACTGATCGAGATTCTGCAGAATTGAGATTTTTGTGATTTTTAATATTTATTCAGATAATTTAGTTATATTTATTAATAACCTTTACAACATTTACTCAACATTTTTACATCCTCAAAAAAAATATTATACAGAAATCAAGAAGCTTTCATTGTTACGGAATTAATGACTCAAAACCTCACACCCAAAAAAAATGTTTAAAGGGTAAATCAACCTGTTATTTATTTTTTGTTAATTTCTCATACCCCCCCAACTTTTTGACATTTTCAGCATGGAATTTTGTGCTAATGACATCAATAATATAAAGCCAACTACAAACGGGAATTGGTGACATTGGCGGCGGCAAAGGGGATTTTTATGTAAATGAGTTGAAGTTTTTCAAAATCAATGAAGCGTCATCAAATTGTTTTTAGAACTCTTCTCTCAGGTGGGAGAGAGAGCGGGAGAGTGATGTTAACTGACCTTCACAGGTTGAGTCTAGAGAGAAGTGGTTTCCCAGTTAGTTTTTAGGTATTTTTGTATTTTTTTTACCTGGGTGCGGCTACAAAATTAACAACTTTTGGAGGCTGAGAAAAACAACAAAAGAAAGCTGCGGAATTTTAGCAATGCGGCCAATGATCTCGCCCAGCTTCTCCTCCTCCCACCGCCCACTACAAAGCCACTTTCCTCTTGGCTACAAAAAATTTAAAAATAACGTGATCACTCAACAGGTGGCCTTTGCATTTCAGGTGTTTTTTTTTTAAAGCCACTAAACAAGTTTGCAACTCTTTGAATCAAGTATTTCCACGGTAATTTGTCATTTTAAATAGTTGTATCCGATTAGGCCTTAGTTGGTTGTAAATTTAAATTGAATTTAAACTTGAACTTGGGTTTTAGAGATTTAAAAAAAAAATATTCTGTAGTTACTACTTCAATATATTATTTTTAACTTTATTTTATTAAAAATATAAATAATGATTTCTATATCTTTTCTTTTCAAAGCACGCGCACGCGGTCAGCTTCAGGGTAATTTGCCTCAAGTGTACATATATATAGATAAAAGTAAGCTTATGCACCTGATAAAACATTTCATTTATTTGCACAGACACACACACACATCACCTTCAAAGGCAATTGCAGAAAGAAAGAAAAAAATTGCTAAATGAAATGATGAAAATGTACGTTAATATACACTACTCTGCTATTATTTGAGAAATTAAAAAGCGAATTTAAATGCATTGAGACACGCGCGCAGTGGCAGAGAGCAACTTAGCGATCGCATGCCATCCCCTCCCCTTTCCAGCCCACATTTCAGCACCATAAAAAAAAGAAGAAAAAAAACTTCGAGGCATCATAATTAAGATTTTTATAGCCTCAATTTAAACGCTGTCTGATATACAACAACAAAATAAGCCAAGAAAAATGCTCAGCATTTATTTTCCTTTAGGTATTTGACATAAAAATTCCTAGAGTTCAACTTTAAATTTTGGACTTTGGTTGAAACATAATGGACCTATTATAATCAAGGTTGGGGGTAAATGTAAATGTTTAGCTATTAAAAATATATGCAATTTATTTAATTTTAAAAAATTTGATAACCTTTTTGTAGAGATTAATGGACTTTTAATCAATTAATCCTTAAAAAAGCATCAGAAACATCGATTGTTTGTTAAATTTCGAATACTTGTATTTATATATTTATAAATAAATAAGTTTGTATTTTTTCAAAAGTTAAAATCTGCAAATTCAAAGACATTTTGAAACAAGGAAACCCCGTCTATATACCTATCATAATCGATTCCCCTAAACCACCAATCGATTTGGACATATCCGACATGACTATTTCTGGTTAAAACAAAAACTTATGCAAGAGGAAGTGTGTGGTCCCCCCGATCGACTTCCACTTGCAACTAATTTGGCATGGATTGGATTTCACGACAGTCCCGTAGTGTCCAGTTTAATGCCCATATATAGTCGGCTGGCTGGATCTCTTTTTCCTGCCGATTTTTACATTTTTAATCGCCATCACAGCAAATAGCGGTAGACAGTAGGCACTGCATTTTCCAGTTAGTTTCAGTTTTGGTCATGGTTTTGGCCATTTCCACTGTGTCTCGTCCACCTGTCTTTTCAACTTGTTTTATGACGAGGGCGCTGCCAACGCGGTGGGGAGGTAGGAAGGGTGTTAAACTGTGTGTGGCACTTGGATGCCACTGACATCACAGTGATTATTACCATAAGATGGTTTTCACAAAGGAAAACCATTACTTAATTTCAGTGAAATTTTTGAAAAATTAACCATTAAATACATGATTAATTATAATAAGACAATTTTAAAGAAAAATGTCTCAAACACTTATTATTTATTTAATTAAGGTCTCTGCATTTCACCGAATTTCAACTTGGGAATTCTAAGTGCAATTTTTATTGTAATGTTAAACAAGAAGGCAAGAATATAATTTCCCTCTTTCATTTGGTATTGGAATTTTTAAAGATTTTTGTCCGCCTTTTTCGAGGCATCACTGTACTTGCTGGTCAGAGATTTTGCTGCTTCTCTGGCGTTTTGTTGCTGCTTTTTAGAAAGTATGTCAATTTAGAAAAGCCGTTGACTGTCGTCCACCTCTGTCCACTCACACTAACACACACACTCGCAGCACTCACACTCACGCATCACTGCTGGGCAAACACACACACACACCTGCAGTCAGGTGCGCTTAAGTTAAGTAGAAGAAAATGACTTTAAATGAAAAATGGTTAAATACCAACCGCAGTTTCTTGTTTTTGTTGTTGCCGCCGCTTCTTCTGCTGCTGCTTCTTCTTCTTCTTGGATCAACACTGAAGAACACACGAAAAAAAAGTGTCGAAAATTGCAGGGAACGACCAGGAGAGTGGGAGAGAGAGTGCAAGTCACAATAATAACAATAACAACAAGAGCATAACCACAAACACACACAACGGTATCAGGGAGTCGGTATCGGTATATCGCTATCGGTATCGGTGAGAGAGAACGAATTACGTCTGCTTGAAACGAGCGCGCCGTCGCGACTGTCTCTATTTTTTTGCAGCCGAGCTGAGCTGCTGCGTCGCTGCCGCTGCTGTTGCTGCTGCTGCTTTGGCGCTTTGTGCAGTGAGAGTGAGAGAGAGAGCAGAAGAGTGCACAGTGGTCAAAAATACAGAGTCTTCAATTGCTTCGTTTTTTATTCTAAGAAGCAACTGCCTTTAAATGGTAAATTTATTTATAATTTAAATAAAACAAATAATTATATTAGAGAGGCAAGATAACAATTTTATTTTATTAATTTTATTATTTAGTTAAAACATTTCTTAGAAATATTTCAAGCAACAGGTTTTTTTGTGCACTTATTCGAGCAAGTTTAACCACTGTGCTCTGGAGAATGAATGAGCTGGAGAGAGCAACGGAAGAGGGAGCTTTGGCTTTTGGAGCCTACTTTATTCGCTCCCTCTCACCCAGTCACTCTGCCCGCGTAAGCAAGTTAAGCTAAATTTTATAATAATACAGCAACAACAAACAAGTGAGAACGCTATTTTCAAAAGACTCAACTTTAAAATGCTTCTTGAAAATAAAATATGACTCAAATTTAAGCGGGTTTATATGAATTCTTTAGTAACAGATAAAGATAAACATTATGGTTTATATTTAAAAACCAACATACAAAGTTTCTAATATTCAGATATTATAGTTGCCCAAACCACACTAGTTTAAGATCCTAATATATCCTAGGGCTAACATTTATATTTTACTTTATGAATGAATATGTTTTATTGGTTAGATTAATACTCGTTTTATACTCGAATAAGACCCCTCAATATACCCCAAAACTCCTAAGATTTCCTAAGTATACCACTGAGAGAAGAGTAAGACGTGGAGTGTCGAGTGGAGCTTAAAGATAGCACAGGAAATAATATCTCACATACAAACACACGCCTAACCTAACCTATGCACATGCGGTTTTATTGGTTACCCATTAAAATCACGGCAGTATTGCATTTTGGCACCCAGCTTAACGCATTTAATTATAAGTAATTAATTTTATTAGTTTTTTATTTTAGGGAGTAAAATAAAGTATGTTCTGACCCTGTATAATTGATCAATATAACCAGACGAGGCGATCTAGCCATGGTTCTAATTATGCAAATTACGACTTTGCATTTCTTTAAAACCTATGTATCTGTATTTAGTTTTTATCTGCAGAACTATCTTAAATTTGATTGTTTTAATTATTAAATACAAAAATATCCATTATATTACTCAATTTTGCAACAAGAACTCAAGTGAATCAACCAATTCCGAGTGTATTCCATGATATCCACCTGCAAATCAGACCAGTCAAATACAACAGGTGCTGTTAGTTGCATTGTTTTGCCATTTGCAGGTTACTTCCAAGATATAGTAAGCTGATAACACGCAATATAAACGGAAATAGGAGCATGCATAGGCACCTAATGCTTGGAAGTTGGCAAACATCTTCTTGCCAGAGGCAGACGCTGCCGCCGCCGCCTCGAATTCTCGAGAACTTTGTAACTGATATCAAGAGAGTCGGACGGAGACCTTGGGTCGCAACATTCCAACATAAGTACGTACATGTTAGTAAAGCCCAAAGTGCGATATGAGCATATCGTCAATAACGTCGCACACACCGAGGGCTTAGCCAAGTACAGTGAACCCCGCCACTTCTTCTCACTTTACATTTTTAAACCTTCAACTAGGGAGAAATATGCTGCAAGTTGGCAAAAGGTTGTTGAAAGTCTGATAAAATACATAGATAATATAATGCATTAATTTACGCAAGCCTAAAGCTGGGTTGTCATGCAGAATATCTTCTTGAATGGTTCAGACAACTTCTATACTTGTAATTCAATTCTAAGCACGTACTCTCCGTAATTGTTGGCTCCTTAAACTTTAACAAAACTAATTATCAGACTGCAGTAGTGTATAATTGCAAACTCCAAGCAAAATCTCTTATGGCGTCATATTCTCTCATTTTTTTTGGGATATCAGCAAATGCTAACAGAGTTAAAATTAGAACATTACGTGATCTCCGAAACGCGAAAAATGCTTGACAAAAAAAATAGTTTATCAATTTGAAAATTGATAAAAAATTAGCAACAAAAACTACGCAAACACACATACATATATGGTATTCTCGTGTTATCATTCGAGCGTAAGCAAACGAAATAAAACAAAAAAGGAGGGTACAACTTAAGCTGCGTCCATAAATGATTAGAAAGAAATGTTTAGCGCAAAAAAAAATGCAATTAATTGGGATCGAGGGTGCCGATGAGAGGTGTTGACTTCTGGAGTGACGCAATCGAAAGACAACAAATAAAAATAACTTTTCAATCATACAAAAATCAATTTGCAAGTTGATTAAAATGAGTATACATTAAAAATATAATAATAAATTAAAAAATAGTATCAAAATATATACAATTATTGCCCAGAAAGCCTACTCACACCCAAAACCCAAGTCATTAAACGATCAACAATGAACAAAAAAAAATGAAATGCTGGGAATAAAAAACATTCCAGAATCTTGTCCCAGGCCGCGATTTCAACAAAACAGGCAACTCCTTGGGTTGGTTTTTATTATAATTTCTGTTGAGCGGTCTGAGCTCTTTCACTTTTAAAAGCACTTAAACAAACACACAAAAAGCAGCAACAGCAGCAGCAGCAAAGATGAAAAGTAAAAGCCCACGCAGAGTGTTGTGCAAGTGAAAAAAAGAGAAAGATAAGATACGAAAAATGGTTAAATGCGAGTGGAGAGCAGAGAATAAAATGGGGAAGTGTAGGGCGGCGACGGCGATCGTCGTCGTCGTCGTCTGGAGGTCGCCGGCAATAAAAATTAACCAACTATCCAGAAAGTGGAGTTTTATCGACTTCAAGATACATGGTAGTTTTGAGATACTTTTTCTTTTAAATTTAAAAAGTTTTAGAATTTATATCCCTCAGATCCTAGAATATTGCCTTTATATAGAAAATACATATTTTTTTAATATTTTTAAAAATTCTTAAATAACAATAAAATATACTCCTAAAGCCCTCATCTAAGTGCATCCCAAAAGTGAAGTTCGAATCTTTGGTAGATCCTGAGATTAAGACACCAATTTTCCATAGCGAACTTCTATTTAACTTTTGGCATTTTTCGTTTGACCCACTAAATTGTTGGGGTCTCCCCTCGATTTTCATCGTCTACGTTCCCACTCTTTTATCATATTCCCCCCTTCCCTAGCCCTATTCGCTCGCTGCTGCAGTCTCTTCTGAGTCATTGCGTTGATTAATTTCTCACGCGTCGCTGCTTTCGGAAAATTGGGTGAAGGGCGGGTTGGAGTGAGTAACACTTGGGAAATTAAAAATTTAAAATTCGAGTTAAAAAAAAAATCTGAGAGTTAAAATATCGTGTTTTCTATACTTTACATTTTCCACCATAATATCTCTCTCATGTCATGTTCTTTAAGCTTCTCTCAGCTTCTTCTCAGTCAAGAAAATGCAAACGAAGGGGAAATAAAAAACTAAAGATAATGCAAAGATAATTTAGTATTTACTGTTGACACACAAAATACAATATTTTACATTTTTAGGGGAGTAAAAAGCTAGAACAATAAATAATGCAAGTCGCATGGTTTGAGAATTATGGTTGGTGATTATGACAAGAAAAAAATTAAATAAAATTAAATAAAATAATTTAATTGTTCATTAATTTTAATTTAATAATAATTTGATTTTTAAATGCAAAAATAATATACATTTGTATTTCCTGTTAATTTTAAAATTATATCTAAATAAAAAAAAAAACCTCCAAATCGTTGAGCGTATAAACATATTTTCCTCCCTTTTTTTTTAAAAAGGGGCGTGGGGCTTACTTTTGATCAGGTGGCAACGCTTGTCAATTTGAAAGCAACGTTTTCCCTATTATATAACGATCATCTCTCTTTTCTCTCCTACTCTCTATCTCTCGCTCTCTACGCGCTTAACTAGTCAAGCATAACAAAACACGAGAAACGCAACAACAACGCCAACTCGTTTTGGTTAATTAACATAAAAAATGGTAAAGAAAATAAAAAAAAACGCCGCACACACTTGTTGCACCAAAAAATAAAATTTAAAAAAAGAGAAAAATAAATAAAATAACGAAAAAAAAAGCCGACGCCTGAGTAAACACGCGAGAGAATTTCCAGAGAGCAAGAGAATTGGAGAAAGATAGGGAGACGGCTAGGGAGAGCGCCAGTGAGTGAGTTCCTTTCTTTTTTGTTGCTGAATTTCAAGTTCGTAGGCAGTGAAAAAAAAAGTTTTTAAAACGGAAAAAATTATTAATATACTTAAAAAATAGTTTATTTATATTTAGAAACATTTTTGAAAATTTATTATAAATAACTTCCCAAAAATAAATTTTTAAAATAAAATAGCACCTCTTGATACGAGGATACTGGCTTTCCTTCCTCGCTCATTTTCCGAACGATCACTGTACTTTGAATAGCATTGGGTGTTCGCCGTTCGTTCTGCTTTTTTTTTTGTGAATAAATAAATACAAAATACAATATAACGAACACGCTCTTGGGGCGGCAAACAGACGCAGCCATGACGTCAGTCGCTTTTAGGTGCCTCTCCGCGCGCATTTTGCCTTTGTTGCTTGTTCGCTGCAAATTTTGTGTATTCAATGTCAAAAACAAAATTAAAAAAAAACACGGCCAAAAGCCATTCCCAATTTCAATTCCCCTACAAAAAAAAAAAACAAAAACCAAAAACAGTAAAAACAAAAAAACAAGCACAGCCAGACATTGTGGGTGCGATTGGGGATGGGAGCCAACTTTTAACGTCGATCTCTGATTTCAAATTTGCAGTAAAAAAAAGGAAACAGTAAATACATAAACTGTACCAGCTTCTGGATGGTCAATAAATAAACTTTAAAAGCCGATTTTTTATGAGATTTTAAAGTTAAACCTTTATTTGATTGTTGCCTTAGAAAAAGTAAACATAAGTACATGAGACGCTGAATCCTCTTTCTACCTATCTTTCTAATGGATTTTTAAATATAATAAAAATATATAAAAAAATATATATAGTCATTAAGAAAATATTCAGAATTAAAGTATTTCGACATGTTCTAAAATTTTATTCAGAAGAATTCTTCCCGTTCTTGATTTATATTGAACAAAGACTAAGTGTTATTCTGTAAACTTAATCCACTTTGGTCTTGATTAATTTATTGATCTTCAACTTAATCCTCACGATACCATCTCAAGGTTTTCGGCACTTTTTTACCTGTCCCATATATTCTGCTGCTCTTCCAGAGAACTTTTGGGGGATGCAAGAGGAGGTAAAAGATGGAGCAATAAAGCCAAGAGAATGGAGGAGAAGACTCCAAGTTGCCGGCCACGCAAATTTCGTGCAAAATGGCAACACTGGGCCGGTGAAACTGGTTTTTTATACTCGCATCTCTCATCTTTAGTTTTTTTTTTGGGTGAGCGCATCTCAGAAGATATGCAAACCAAACGGAGTAGTAGACCACATCATACGTTTCCAGTCAAGTTGGACATATATATTTCTCCAAATATATGGAGATATGTATGTGTAGAAATGTGCTAATTGAGCCAGCAGCAGCGGAGAAAGAGGATGAGTGGGCACATTTCACTGTAGCTGGACCATTTTCCAGGCCATAAATCAAATAATGAATGGCCAAATAACCAGTCCAAGTGCAAAGATATATAAAAGATAGAGAAAGAGAGAGAGAGAGCACGAGATGGATCGAGAGCGAGATGTGTAAATAAAAAGGCGTACAGCATCCGTCGTCAATGGCGAGCAAGAAGCGCGCTAGCCTAGTTATGCCAGATGCGGTAATGGGTGTATTCATGGTATATCGGTTTTACAGGATTTTATTCAGAATGAATTAAAGCTGTCGTAGCTTTGCTTCAAGTGCAGAAACAAACAAAAAGCGCAACAGATTGCAACTGGAGATAGCAAGGTTCGTGACCTCTGTATCTGTGTGTGAGCTTTGTCTCAAGCATCCCTGCTTCATATTTAAATTATACATAAATCACTGGAAATAAAATCTATTAAAAATTTAACTTTTCCCAAAAAATTCTCAGAAAATCTAACCTAATATTCATCTTAATTAATTTGAAATTCTCATAGTAACCAGGGTACTCGCATAGTTCATCACAAAGGCTAATGCAAATTTTTCTATAGCCGATCGTTGGACTCGATCAATTCCCAGCAACTTTTTTCGGCTTATTGAACGGCATTCATTTGAGAAGTGAAGAAGCTGACAACTTTGTCGCTTTCTCAGTGCCACACAAAACCGTTGAACATTGGCTGGGGAATGTGTGAAAGGAGTGGAATGGAGGGGCAGAGCTAAAGCAAGATGCCAAAGCACACAGAGAACAATATATCATCACTATGAAATTGCTACTTGGTACTAGAGAAGAAATACTATTTTAGAATTTAAAATAAAAAAAACGAATTTAATAAAAATTAAATATTAAACATTTTAAAATGTACAAGTAATAACATATTAAAAATATAGTGCAGAAATTAATATACTTATTCTTCTTACTTATATTTCAACCGAAGATATAAGATTCTAGATCCCATATGGGGTTTTGTAATTTCCGCTACAGATACATCAGATCTTTTGACTCACAGTAGATACATATATATGTCGGATCACATGAAACAGGGCCTACTTTATTCCTATGGTCAGAATATGTGAAGCGGAGCCTTTTGAAATACGAAAAGAGCTTGTACTCTATGGTTTCGAAAGGTTATCCTGCCAAACTAACATTTGAAGACACTAGAAGTGTAAGCGAGAGATCGCCGACTGAGGCACTCGTTGGTGGAATCATTTATAAGGCTGTGAGGGTCCAGAGAGACCGTGACGCAAGAGGTGCGTGTGAGCGTTGCAAAGTGTGCAGCAAGAGCCTGTATAAATTGATGAAGAGATGTTGAGTAAGAGTTGTGGTACGAGCAGAGAGATACAGAGATACAGATTTGGTACGAGAAGAGAATGAAGTGGCGAGAAGAAATAAAAGTAAAGCTTATTTGACATGAATAAAACAGATAAAATGAAATGTTAAGTTGAGACCAAAGAGAGAAAAAAGAGAGAATGATAAATGAAAATGACAGTTATGTTTAGAGCTATTAGAAGACACGTCACGCGAGGACGCGTGAATTGTCAGGATGGCCGTGTCGGCGAGTTGGTTGCTAAGTGCAAATTTGGAAAGCTTGTTGCTATGGCAACAGAACTATTCGGCATGCTCAGGTATTGGTAGCCTGTAGGTGTCGCTGGCGCGCAGGCGCAATGACAGTTGAGTCGGTAACAGGAGTGTTACTGAGTGAGGTCTGTTCGTCTGTCGCAACAATAGGAGAGAATGAGAGAGACAGCTTGAGATTGTCTAGGAATGACATCTGAGTGAAAAGTAAGAAAAGGTGAAAGGGCCACAGGAAAAGTGGCGTGATGACAGATTCGATTTGACTGCGCAGGCGAACAGAACTCGCTGGCTCGACTACGGTTAAATTAAATAACGGATATCTCCGACATATACATATATATAATGTACATAGTGGGACTTTGACAATGCATGACAAATCACAAAAGAATACAGCCAGGCCAGCAACAGGCTGAAAAAAGCGCCTGAAAATGCTCTGTTCAATAATAATAAATAATAATATATGTACGGAGGGGGGCGCAGGGCCGAAGGGGGAACTAAAGCAACTGGAAACTCTAACAGCTCTTCGAACCCGTATTAAAAGCGGGCCGTCAGAAAAGATGACAGCGAAGAGATGTTGGTCATAAATACCAAGCTAGAGATGGAGTATAAATTGCAAAATAATAAACTAAAATATTTCATTTCTAAATTAATTGCATAAAAAATTTAAATTTATAAAATATTTAATATTTGTGTACTCAAGTCCATTTCACTACCAAAAATTTTTTATGAATAATAGTTGTATTTAATAGTTAAATTTGAATTAATTAAATACTTAAAAATTAAATTTGCAAAAGTTCTTGAGAAACACTTTACAAATTAAATAATTAACTGCCTTTTAGCTTTTTCCCGCCAACAGCTAGGACGCATCTCCGATCGCCAGTTGATCTGGTAAGAAAAAACCGCGTCACGCACTTCCAACTAGAAGTGTTATATGTTCTAACTGGAAAATGCGACTCCATGCTAATGAGCAATAGGAGAAAGAGTAAGAGAGAGAGAGAGGAAGGGGAGACATTTGACAAAGACGGAAGTGAGCGACTTACGAGACACAAAGACAGAAAGGGAAGAAAAGGAAAGGAGAGGAATGACGGCAAAAGGTAAAAGGTGGCAAGGGAAAACTTTGGAAAAACGGTGGTTGGAGTGGCTGCTGCAATTTTCACACGCCTCACTCACACATACGGCATTTGTGATTTATGGCAGCTGCCGAAAATTTAAAAATTCACTCAAAAAGCCCTAGCTTTGTCTCGCTCTTACGCCAAATTAACTAACCGACTTTTGGTTTGGCTTTCAACTGCACGTGTGTGTGTGTGTTTGAGTGGAATACAGAGCATATGAGAGGGGGTTTCTTTAAAATATTGCCTTAATTTGCAGTATTTATTATTTCTATATTCACTTTTGTGAAATGTGCTTATTTTAACTTATTTTTAAATGCCGGTTAATGACTCACACTTCAGTCTCTATTTCTCTCTTACACACACACACACCAGCACACATAAATGCCGCCACATACCGGTATTTCAGCCTTTGCTTTCTTTACGTTTTACGTTTGCATTTTATATTCCTACACATTTTGTTTTTTGTTTTATTCTTGCTGCAATTTCAGCAACAAAGTTGAGGAAATTATTCACGAAAATTGAGAAAAATTATATGTAAATAACAGAAATTCGCAAAACTCACTCACGCACACACACATACAACTTGCCGTTGTTTTTGTCGCCAGCAAAGCTTAAGAATTTATATTCTCGTAAAAATTGCTTCTCGTTTTCCTCCTTTTAGCACACACACGTATAAAAAAAAGGCAGTTCGTCGCTGTGAAAACGAAACACGAATAAAAAAGCGGGCGACAAAAAAAAAGACGTTCAACGCTCAACTTTTGCCGGCGTGTGGTAGTGTGTGTATGTGTGCGTGTGTGAGAACGTATGCCTGTTTGTGCGTGCGGCTTGTTGCGCTTTTTTTGCTTTTTCGTTAGAGCGTTGGAATTTCCTTGAACTTACGTTTTTTCTCCGTTTCTAAGGTTTAATTCGAAAAGGTCCAGTTGCTTGTCGTCTTGTTTTTGCAGCTTTAAACGTCCTTTGTGGTTTTTTTTCAAAGGAAACGAAATCAAATAAACGCAAAAAAAGAGCGAACCGAACGAAACAAAAACTAGAGCTGGAAAAACGACGATTATTTGGTATTTTCTATGTATCGGAATTTGTTTGATTGCGCTATGGACTATCGAATAACGATAACAGGTCAAGAAGAAACGAGCTTATGTTGATAGTGTCCTTTTGCGGGAAAAACATTTTGATTTAAAATCTAGAAATATAATAAATAACAATTACTTGGCTTATTCTTTTTTTTATATTTTATATATGGTCAACATATTACTGGATTATTTTGGGAATTAAAATTCAAAAACATTGATCTAAACTTAAGAAAATTAAAAAACTCACAAAGTAAATAGCAATCATTGCTCAAGTTTACTTTAGTTTGATCATCTGCCATGCCAACCCTCCCATTTGACCCACAAAGACCACCACCGACTAAATTTAGAAACAATTTTATTCAGCTTGATCGAAAACGTCGCCCGGCATTTGATGCCCGCTAATTTTGTACTCTCGTTCGGAGGTCAATACAAAATAAAAAATAAATAAAATATAGTTTAGTTTAGTCTTTTAGTTTTCCTTTTGTTTGTGTCTTTTTTAGGATTTTCTATTATCTCAGGATTTGAAATAAAAGTGTACTCTCCGCAAAGATTTAATTAAATCAACTACGAATTTTTAAGTTTAAATAGGAAAATCATTTTAGAAATCACTACGATAGCTACAATAAGCCATAGCACTACAAATCTCAAGACTGCTGCTTGTATGTACATCTTGGGCTTTTCGCTAGGGGAGAGTACAAATCCCACTGATGATTCTCCAGATTCTCAACAGACTTAGGGTTACGGGTTGCCACTTAATTGTTATTCTCCAGGGCCGCCATCCTTTCGCGCTCCTTCAGCAGCCGCTCTCTGCTGTCCTGCGGATTGAGCAGCACCTTCACCAGATGCTCCACTGTCGGCCGCTCGGCGGTGCAGTATACTTTGAGGCCCTGCGATTCCAGGGCCCGCCTGGTGCTGGGCCCAATGGCCACCAGCTTCCATTTATCCATCGATTGGTTGTGCGCCTTGAAGTACTCCTGGGCACAGTTGACGCCCGACGGGGAGAAGAAGGCCAGGAACTCCAGGGACTCGCCATAGGTGGCCAGGGCTCGCTCCACATTTGGTCCGAGTTCGGGATGACATCGCGTCTCATACACCTCGCAGGCATCGATGGAGAAGCCATTCTCCGCCAGCTTCGAGAGCAGCGTGTCCGTGGCTAGGTTGCCGCAGGGAAGAAGCAACGGCAGATCCCGGGAACCATCGAAGGTGTCCACAATAAAATCACCGAGAGCCCGCGCATTGCCCGTCTGTTTGCCGTGCGTGAATAGCTGGTCCAAGGTGCTCAGGGCCAGATTGTGGGTCACCTCGCCCACGGCATAGTTATGCAAGAGCTTCCATCCGCCGGGCAGTTCCCCGAGATTCAGGGACTCGCCCACAGCCTCCACGCAGCGCGGCGAGGTGAATATGATGCCGGCATACTTGTCCGGTGTCTGGAGCTTGGCGCGCAGCTCCACCAGGTTCTTGAAGCCGAAACTTAGCGTGGGTATGAACACCGGATTGAAGTCATGCTTCTCCAGCGTTTCCGCATAAACATCACTGCTGTCCGATTCGGATTTGAATATAATCACCGTTCGCTGGCGACTTGTCATTGTTCTGGCCTCGCACTGCACTGCTTCTATTATGGTTGCGATTCTGCCGGATGTGTGTGTGTCGTCTTTGGCCGTCTCGGTTCTTTTTCTGCCTCGTTACTTTCAGACGCCCGCGCCTCCTTGTTTTCTGCGAAAATAATTGCATTTACTTTTAGATTTCCCCGACTTTAGACTCGCACGCACACAAAAACACCAATCAGCTGATGGCTCACACATACACTATTCGATAAAAAAGGTAGTCGATAACAAAAGAAGGAGTATCGAACAGTTACCAATTGCAAAATAACAAAATATTTGTGAGAAAACATGTAAAATATATGTATTTATAATAATAATATCAATAATTTCCAAGCAAAAGCATGGAGCTCAGCTGCTAGCTCAGACACAAACCGATGTCAATCAATCAGCTGTTGCAGCAGGTGTACAAATCGATAAGCGATCAACCCATATGACCTATCGACAGCCGTTTTGGCCACCTCTAACCGCGCACGTGTTGGATTCTTGTTTTGGACAAAAATTGTTGCATTCTCTATTTTGAGCATTTCTCGCGTGGATCATGGGCAAATTCCGTTCAAAGCTGAAGCGCCATGGCAAGGGCAAGACATGGTCCAAGGGCCAGTCGGCGGTCTCCAATCCCGACCAGATGAAGCATCGCCTGAAAGCAAAATCACGCTTCTTTCAGCCCAATCTAAGCCTGGGTGAGTTGCTCTCTATATAAACCTTTTTTATCATATTTTGGTCAATATTTTTTTGTAATTCCCACCTAGCGGCTGCCACGCCCACTGGCCTCACAATGGAGGCGGTGCACAAGCATGAGCAACGACAGGCCTACAATGCTGAAACCACAACCGTCAACGATGTGGCCGGTAGCCTGATGAGCTTCAACCTGAACGATGACGAGGACGAAGGCATGTCCGGTACGGGCACAGCGCCCTCTGGGACCGCCCAGACCTTCAAGACCTTTGCCTCCAATTACACCAGCTGCAGCAACATGAGCTTCAAGAAGCTCTTAACCGGCTTTCGGGCCTCTTCTGATCTGCACAAGGAAATGCTGGCCATACTCAGTGCCCTAACCGAAATCATACGCGAAAAGGGTGGCAGTGAAACGTCCACAGAGTACTTTCTGCTGCTGATGGAACAGATTGAGGCGGCCAAGGAGGAGCGTGACATTATAGCCGGTTTATCGTTGCTTTCCATGGGCATTAAGTCGGTGCCAGCGCCCGTGCTGCGTCGACGCTTTGCCCAGACAGCTGCCACGATGCAGGCCCTGCTCCAGCGATTTATAGAGTCCAGCAATCAGTCGGTCATCCGTTATGTGAGTTTTTAGGGTAACTTTCTCCTTGTCTGGTGGCTAATTCTCATAGATTTACAGATTGTTGGCTGCCTTTCGGTGCTGCTGCGTGCCCAGGAATATGCCACATGGACTTATAGCTCTACGTTCCAGTACTTTGATGCCCTGCTGGCTTTTAGTATTCACTCCAAGCCCAAGATACGCAAGGCCGCCCAGCATGCAGTGGTGTCTGTTATCCATGGCAGTTGCTTCATGCTGCCGCCGGTGAAAGTAAACGAAGATGAAGATGAGGATGTAACGGAGAAGAAGGAGCCACAGCCAGATCAGCCCAAGGTGAAGCATCATCCAGCAAGCAGCCGGGTTACCAAATTCTGTCTTGCCCAATTCAAGCCCGAGGTTTTGGCCAATGCCCAGACCACGGTGCTGTACACACTGGCCTTGCTCAAGGATACACTGTCCGGTTTCCGGACGGAAGATATACGCAATGTGTGCGAGCATTTGCTGTCCATTATGACGGCAGCCAATGTGCTCGTCCGGACCAACTGCTTCCAAGTGCTGCATGGTCTCTTCCTTACCCGCAGTCCCAATTTGAATGCCTCGCTGTGCGCCAAGCTCTTGGCCGCCATCCATGAGTATCGTCCGGATCGCAGCGATGTCCGTCAGATGCTGGCCTGGATCACAGTTTTGAAGGAGGGTCATCTTCATTTGGCCACCCTCCAGCTGGATCTGTGCATGCAGGCTCTGCCGCGTCTCGTTGATGTCTGCACCACCGACTTGTGGCTATCGGATCGCACGGAGCTGGTGGTTGGCGTCTCGAATTGTATCAAGGAGCTGCTTCAGGATTGTGTGGCCAAGGCCTGTGGCTCCACAGAACCGGAGGCAGTGCAGCGGAATCGCCCGAGTGTGGCCAGAATAATTGAGTCCATGCACAAGGTTTTGAATGCTCCGTTCGGTGAGATCTCCAAATATGTGATTCTCATCTTTTCCATTGTCTTTGAGGCGTGTGGCAAGCAATTTGGGTGAGTTTCTGGCTTGGATTAGAGGGAGATAGATAGATAACCATGATTTCTCTTTTCCAGCAAGGAGCTAACACCATCTCTGCTGACCATAGCCAAGCGCTATGACACCCAGAGCAGCCATCGCCTCCAGATCGAGCACACACTGATCAGTGCCATCAAGGCCTTGGGACCGGAACTGGTGCTCACAGCGATACCCCTGGCGGATGCCAAGACCGGCGGCATGCAAATGGAACGCTCTTGGCTATTGCCGCTGCTGCGCGAGGGCGCCAAGGGTGCTAGTTTGCAGTTCTTTTGGGAGAAGATAATACCCCTGGCCAAGGATTGTCATGTAAAGTGGCTGGACAAGACCACGCCCGCCACAGCGCACATCTACGAGCTGCTGTGCTGCCAGCTGTGGGGCCTGTTCCCTGGCTTCTGTCGCCAGCCCCGGGATCCCGAATATCTGCGACACTTGGCTCCCACCTTGGGCAATACCCTCGATCAGAATCCCGAGTTGAGGTCACCCATCTATGATGGTCTGATGGAGCTGCTGGACGAGAGCCAGAGCCCGGAGTGCCATCAGGCAATTGGCATGTTTGCCAAGAATTTCCTTCCCCGCCTGATCAACATTTACATCCAAAAGCCGAAGGGCACCTACGAGGCGGATCTGCGAAAGCGCTGCCTGGAAGTGATACGTTCGTACATTGCCCGTTCGCCCACGGATGTCCAGCTGCAGCTCTTTGAGACCGCCCAGACTCAGTTGGCGGCCACGGCGGTGGCCAGCTTTGAGTACGATGCCATGTTTGATATTAATGCCGCCATTGTGAGGGTGCAAAAGTGCCGCAGCATCGAGACTTACTTTGAGAAGCACATGGCGCCCATTCTGAGGAACGACAAGTCCAAGCTGGTGGCCAAGGATGAGCAGAAGCTGAAGAAGCAGCAGAGGAAGACCTATGAGTGAGTGTTAAGCCAGGGATTTTAGGGTTTTAAAATGGATTTCTCTAGGAAATTTGATGTTTTTATACTTTATTTATATTTAAATTTAAACTTTATGTTTAAATCTTGTAAATATTTTAGACTACTGCGCGAACTGATGACCTCGGAGCAGGCTTCCTGCCAGAAGTTTACCCGCAAGAACAGCCAGGTGCTGCAGCAAATCCTCCTGGAGGCATTCAACACCAGCTGCAGTGTGTGTCAGGCCTCGCGTTTGTAGTAAGTTTGAATATAAACTTTATTTTCCCCTTATATCCCTTTATTTACCCTTTGTTTACCCTTGATTTCCCTTTATATACCATCCATTAATCTCCCCTTTAGCTGCCTTAAATCCCTCCTGGATTGCCGCAATAATCTCGCCTACAATGATCAGCTGGTGATGAAGGCCATTCCCGAGGCCGTGCTCAATTACAAGGAGTTCAGCACACGCAAGGAGTCGGTGGCCGAGCAGCTAATTAAATTCATTGCCCAACTGTATCAGGATGCCGGGAAAATCAATGATTTTGTGGATATTCTAACCGCTGGCTTTACCGGCGATGAATCTTTGGTGACAAACACAATCCTGGCCTTCAGGAGTGTCATCCAGCAGCAGGGCCAGCACCTGACAGTGGCCACCTTGGAGTTTGTGCTGCAACAGGTATCTGTGTTTCTGGTGCAAAAGTCGCGCAATCAATCGGAGGCAGCGGTGGCCTTTCTGATCACCTACATCAAGGTGATGCCCATACCCCTGGTGTCCAATCATCTGGAGACGATTGTAAGTCTTTATAGCTGAAGCTGAGGCTTTAATTTGATATTTTAAATGTTTTCTTCCCCAAAAGATGCGCTCTTTGTCTGCGATGACCAAGGATACGAAGCGTTATTGTCGCATTCAAATTGGGTATTTCCTGAAAAAGCTCTGCAAGCGCTTTACCACCGAGGAGCTGGCACGCTTTGTGCCCGGCGATGATGAGATCACCCATCGCAGGCTCAAGAAGATACGCAAACAAATGCGCAGGGATACGCGCAAGAAGCTGAACGAGGAGGCCCAGGCGGATAGCTCCGATGAAGAGCTTGCCGGTGGCAATTTGGAGCAAAAGAGCTATACGTAAGTGGGTTTAGGGTTAGGAATTTGGGTTTGGGGATTGATATCAGATGGATTTATTGAAATTTAATGATTGGGTTGATATATTGAACGATAATTCATGTGATAATTCAATATTTTATGTGATAAATCGATATTTTATGTTATAAATCCATATATTTTATCTGAAAATTCGATATTTTATGTGATAAATCTATATATTTCATGTGATAAATCGATATTTTATGTGATAAATGTATGTAATATATATTTTTTATCCCTCCCACAGCATTGATGATATTCTGGCTGACTCAGACTCGGATCTGCCCGAGGACGAAATGGATGCGGAGGATGTAGACGGCGGCGTGGCTGGCAAGCGACGCAACAACAAAACCAAGCAGCCCAAAAAGAGCACCTACATACGCGAGGATCCCGACGAGATTGTCGATCTGGCCGATCTCAAGTCCATTGGCAATGTGCTAAGTAAGTTCAAAAGGGGGGGGTTTAACCCTTAATTACTTAATTAATCGAATCTCTCCATCTTGCAGCCAGTGGCTCTGCTGCTCAAACGGTGGCCGCCGCCAAGAGCCTCAAGCAGAAACCTCAGTTGCCCAACGGTGGCTTCAAGACGGCCGACGATGGCCGCCTGATTATCAGCGACAAGGCTCTGCGCGGCCAAGATGCCGCCGGTGACTCCTCGGATGATTCCGATGATGAATCAATGGAGGATGATGCCAAGGAGCCCAAGGCCAAGCGTGGCATGGAGGAGGACTCCAGCGATGAGGAGGAACTGCAGCAGCAATCAGCGGGTGCGGGTGCCAAGCGCAAGCGCAAGGCCAGCGATGCGCTGAGCATGAAATCCGGTAAGACAACAGCCAGTAGTCGTCGTACCACCGCCACCGCCGGTGGTGGCAAGGGCATTCATCGACAGCTGGGAGGAGGAGCTGGAAACACAGATGCCATGTCCATGAAGTCGGGAAAATCGGGTAAATCCATCAGCCGAACAGCGGGCAGTGAATATACCAGCAAAAAGGCCAAGGGAGACATGAAGAAGCGCGGCCAACTAGATCCCTATGCGTACATACCGCTCACCAGGAATACGCTCAACAAGAGGTGGGTCTTTCCAAACCATTTTTATGGTTTAATTTATACAATTTTTTGGGTTCTAATCTTTTTTTGACAGAAAACGTTCAATGAACTCGAGAAAATTCAAGAGCGTTTTGCGTGGAGCTGGCGCCGAGACTGGCGGAGGAGGCGGCGGCGGAGGCCGTGTGTCCAAGAAATACAAATAGGCTGGTGAACCGGGGGTATCATTGGACTTCCAACTAACTGGAGATCATAAAGCTATAGAGATAATAAGAGCCGGATGATAAGCTGATGACTGAGAAGCTGGCGAGACGTTGGATGATTATTTCCGCACCCCTGTTACCTTGCTTACAAAATATATATATAAACAAATATTATATAATTAATGAAGTGGCAGTGATGTATTTAAAATGAAAAGAAAACAATTGTGGTGGCGTTTTTTTAAACGAGGATAACACGGATTGCTCCGAATACAGTGCCTTTGTGTCCTCTCTTTATATTTATGTATAATTTATATTTATATAATTTACATATAATGAAAATTAAGAGGCGGGGGAGAGGTTAATTCGGTGCAAAACGAGCCAACCTTACTTTTTTCTGATTCCTTTTAATTTCAAATATTTTAATAGAAAAGTGAAAACTAAATATTAAAAATTTCAAATTTAAAAGAATCTTAGTAGCCACTGGGAAATAATTTCTGTCTAGCTTTCAAAGCTTTTCAGGTCTATCCTCATTTTTCATTCTCCCTCTGACCAGTTCAGTATTTCCGGAAGTCAAAATAAATAATTTAAAAGTAGTTCAGAAAATTTCCCGTTCAGTTTTCAAAATCAACAAAAAGAAACATGCAGAATAAATTTAGGCAGGATTTCGATCTGGAGACGAACATCAAGCTTAGCTCTCTGTGTTGGCGCTGGCAATCCTTTTGCTGGTTGACCCTCAAGGGTATCGCCATTGGGAGATTCTTGTTGGGAAATCTAGATATGGTTTTAACATTAGTTTGCCCACTTCTACTGATTATTGGGGTATTGACTTTTTGGCGTAACCGAAAGAAGGTAAGTTAAGAGGTTAAATAAATAATTGTAATTATTAATAATACGATTTTGTGATTTTTCTGCCTTGTCAAGCGTGCCTTGCCAGAGGACTCCTTGTCGGAGGCTGTTTTGCCAGAGAAAGTAATGTCAGAAAATGCCTCTTCAGAAAATGCCTCCTCAGAAAATGCCTCGCCAGAAAATGCTTTGCCAGTAATCGAGACTGTATCCTCTGAGGAGCCGCCAGCCGAGCCTCTAGTGACCAAAATTTCCCTTCAGTTAGTTCCCGGGTCTGCAGACACCATCGATCTATGTCCTGTAGATCGAAAAGACTTACCAGTGGAGCCGCAGGAGCCTAAGGAACCGAAACCTACGACTGTGCCTCAGTGTAAACCGACTGGCACCACTCTCAAGGCGTCAAGAACAAGGATTTTAAATTACCAAACTCGTCAAGTGGTAGGCATGATCAAAAAAGATCAACAACAAGCTAAAATCCCAAGGCCAGCTCCATTTAATCGTTTTCCGGTTGTGAAAAAGCCCTCGGTCAGACTGGCTATTACAAAGAGCCCCGTCAAGCTTCCCATAATTAAAGCCTCGATCAGGTCTATTCTAAGCAAGCCACCGGTCAACACTTCTTTTGGAAACCAGGCCAATACCAAGGGACCTGCCAAAAAGACCCCGTTCACCGCTTCTAAAACCAGGGAGCCTGTCAACCGTTTTAGAAACGCTTCCCCTGGAAAACAGGTTTATACCAAGGAATCTGTCAACCCGGCGATGTTGCAGACCCCGGTCAACGCTTCCGTGACCAAGGAACCTGTCAACCGTTTTAGAAACTCTTCCCCTGGAAAACAGGTTTATACCAAGGAATCTGTCAACCCGGCGATGTTGCAGACCACGGTCAACGCTTCCGTGACCAAGGAGCCTGTCAACCGTTTTAGAAACGCTTCCCCTGGAAAACAGGTTTATACCAAGGAATCTGTCAACCCGGCGATGTTGCAGACCCCGGTCAACGCTTCCGTGACCAAGGAGCCTGTCAACCGTTTTAGAAACGCTTCCCCTGGAAAACAGGTTTATACCAAGGAATCTGTCAACCCGGCGATGTTGCAGACCCCGGTCAACGCTTCCGTGACCAAGGAACCTGTCAACCGTTTTAGAAACGCTTCCCTTGTAAACCAGGCTAGGACCAAGGAACCTTTCAACCGTTTTAGAAATCCTTCCCCTGGAAAACAGGCTAATACCAAGGAACCTGTCAACCCTGATATATTGATAACTTCCCCGGTCAACGCTTCCATAACCAGGGAACTGGTCAACCCCCCCGCCAATACCAAGCTCATGGTCAACCCGGTTATAAGGAAACCATTCGTTAAGTCTGCTGGAACTAAGGGCAATGTTAACTCTACTTCAAAACCAGCTCCGGTTAACCAGTCTGGAATTGAGGCTTATGTGAATCCGACTGAGACTAAGGATACCGTCAACCCGGGCACAAACAAACCACCCTTCAAACCCCATCCCCGACGTGGTTTAAGTCAAGGTCCAGACGGATTAAAGGTTCCGCGTCAAGCTGATGCACGCAGTCGTTCGACTAACCGGGAGATCAGAGTCTGGAAGGTTTAGATTTGCCAAAGGGCCTTGGGGTCAGGAGAATCCCTACATTTTTATTTGTATATTACACATTTATACGGCACAGTATTTGTAAAATGGTTTCGAAATAAACGATAAAACTAACTAGAAAACAGATTTCTTGAGGTTCTTATAGTTTCTATTTATTTTCTTTAGTTTTATAAGGCTGGAAAGTAAGATTAAGAAGGAGAACCTAAAGATGCTTCCATAACATTCTAAAGTTGTTGAAAAGTGGCTCGTTTTGCACCGAATTTACCATACCCTTAACGAGGATAACAAAAAATGTATCTATAAAAACACCAGGAACCACTTTCACATTTGCTAAAAAGTATAAATACATAATTTAAAAGTCTTTAATCTATGGCTATTTATTGTTAACGATTTCATCGCGAAATGCCAGAGTCACAAATACAGTTTGGTTGTACAAATATTCCTGATAATTCTCCAAGTCTAAGGCCTCTTAAAAATCCTTAATTATGTGCGTTTTTTGCCACTCGCCCTGAGGATCCACACCGGCCATTGTCTCCTCTATGAAATGCATTTTGTTATCGCTATCCACCAGGATGACGGTGTGGGTGCGACTGCCATAGGCATGATCACCAATGTGGACATTGAGGGCACTCAGGCCCTCGCCCCAGTTGGGTGCCCGCCGCTTGAGCTCCGCATCTGGCCAGAATTTGTGTGCATTTTTGAGCAGCTTCATCAAATGCTCGGCCAGGGTGTCCACACTGGCAGCACCATGCTCCTTGACAATAGCCTCGAACTCCGCCTGGCCGTGTCGCACCTTGGCGAAGGGTGTGTGTGGCAGGCTGTTGCCAAAGCCATAGCACTCGCCATTTTGGTACTCCTCCAGTGTGGGCGGCACATTGCTGAGCAGCTGGACGCGGGCGGCGGGCAGGAGGGAAGAAGGTCTGGGGGTATTAATTATATTTTTTTGTTAATATTTTTTTAATATTTTATTTGATTAAGAACCCCCAAAAATTGATCAAATATATTTAATTTATATTTTTTTATAAAATAAATTCTAAACTGCATTGCTTGTACATTGCAGGCAAAGTGTAAAAGAGAAGGAACCCTCAGAAATGTATGAAATAGATTAAATTTAAATAATTATATTAAATTACAAACAAAACAAAATTATAATTTATAAAAAAAATTAATAATATATAAATAAATATAAGAAGGAGCAACAAATCTCACCCAATTTCGATGGACACAAAATTGAAGGCACTGTATTTGGTGCAGTCCTTGAGCAGCCTTTGATTGTAGCTCTGGATACTGTGCTCCTCGTCGGATTCCGTAACAAAGTCCGCCACGATCATGCCGCGACCTAGCAAGAAATGTTCATTATTTGGATGAACCTTACTGGTGTTGTTGTAGTTGTTGTTGCTGGAGGAGAAGGAGGAGGTGGTGGTGGTGGTGGGGCTGCTGTTGTTGTGATTATGCGGCTGCAAAATGTTCTTGTTCGCTTCAAACAGAAGAAAGAAAGTCGTTTTCGCATTTTGTGAAAGTTTTTGATTAATTCAGGCCAAAAATAAGAGCGAATGAGGGTAGATTGTTAGTAAAGGAGTATGATTTAAATGGTGGATGGAGGGGCTTTTACCAACTGCATCGCGTGGCTTGGGCTCGCCGGTCAAATTGAGCAAAGCGCCCACCTTGAAGACGCCGCCGGAATGGCCAATGGCCAGCCAAGTGCCGCCCTCCCTTCCAGGCTCCAGATCAATGCCTGTCAAAGATATAAAGAGAATAAATGTTAATAAAGCTCTCAAAGAAAGAGAGCGATTGAGTGTTCCACTTACCCCCGTAGACATGACCCGCATTTGCCCACTTGGCTGCCGTCTGAGTAGCCCGGGCAAAGAACTCGTCCCGATTGGAGGCCAGGATCAGCTTGTAGCCACCTGGCAGCGGGCTGGCGTCTGCACAGAAGAATATCACGCACATGGTGGCGTCTAGAAAGGGAATACGCTGCTCCGGATTACTGCGAACGTCTCGAAAGGCGACGACAAACTGTGGACTCCAAAACAAAACAAAAAAAATGGGGAGGAGGGCTTAATCAATGACAGGTCGGTCAGTAGTCTCTTTGTCACTTTGCCTGTTGTTTCTTTTATCACCACAATAATAATACCAGCGCTGATACACAGTCTTATCCGTTGTTTATAAAACAAAACGCCAAGCTAATCTAAATTGCTGCTTTTCGGCGACGATTGAGGGGGGGGACCTGAGGAGGGCGGCGTAACCTAGTTGGGGGGTTCGACCAAAAGAGTTGCGTCTTTTAATTTATTTCAACAGTCGCTTATTTTTGTATTGTTTTGTTTTTTTTATTTTATATTTTTCTTATTTTCTTGGATTTGCCAGCTGATGAGGCCAAATCGATAACGATTGATTTTAAAGTATGCTTTTGGGCGGGCTTAGCAATATCGATAACCGCATGAAATGAAAGAGAGAGAGTGTGCCATCACTAATTACTTGGGTTATATTTGTTTTTTGTTTTTTTTTTTGTTATCAATAATGATCCTTTGGTGCAAATTTAAATATCTTTAAGAAATTTGCAGACATTTCTGTTTGTGTAAAATGTTTGTTTGAGCAAATACTATAAAACAAGTAGGACTTCCCTAGCGCCTGTCCAGCGAGTCCACCTTATCAATAATGCCTTCAATGTTAAAGTCCTTCGGTGCATTAAAGTTCTTTTGCCTGTCCGAAAAGCCCTGTTTGGTGGCAAGCATTACGTTAGTTTTCTGCACAACCTCACTTTCCGGAATCAAACGCTCTTCGGCGGCAGACATATAACTGAAACGGGATAAAATACCTGTTTAATTACAGGAATTCCGAGGGATTCCGTTATCTCCGTTATTTACCGTTCTAGAACGGCTACATCCCGAGCTGCCTCGTCAATGTCCGACTTCACTTTGCGCAGCTCAATCTGTTTCTTTGCCTTGATCAGCTTGTTCTCGATGCTGTCCCTCTTCTTGGTAGAGTGCAACTCGCGCAAATAGTTCAGGTCCAAGGCATGGACTTGCGAATCTACAGCGAGGTCCACGCATTTATCAAGAAGGGCCATGTCTTCCGAGGAAAAGTCACTCAACTCGATGCCCGCCAGCTTCAACTGTTTTTCGTAGTGATCACCCAAGGCCTTCAACTCTTTGATTTCCTCCTGCAGCTTCAAGTTCTCTGAATAATAATGGTTAATGTAATGCTAGCGGTACTTAATTTACTAAAACTCACCCATTTTTAATGAAAGAAAAAGACGAAATGCGAAGGAAAATGAAAAATGCTCAAAAATGCTTGTCAATTCGAAGGGAAAGTGTGACCACAGTGCTTTCTAATTTTGGACATAGTTCAGTGATGCCAGATTATTTTAATCCAAGTTTCAACACAAGAGGCGCCACTGTAACAGCATTTAAATTTCTTATAACAATAAATAAATTAATTTATTTGTAATAACTTTTTATTTTAGTACTTTTAGTACTTAAACAAAGACATAGTTCAAATTAACAAATCAATAATACTTTACTATACTTTACTTATTTAAGTGATTTTTGCTCTCAGCCTTTTTGAAATTTATTTTAAAATTATATTTGCCCAAAAATAAACTTATAAAAAATACGTTTTTCTCATTTAATTGTTTATTAAACTTTTCATTTCAATTATCATAAGCAGCTGGCAACGCTGGTCCACCTGCAAACAGCTGGGCCGGCGTTGCCAGTTGCCAGGAATGTGAGCCAAACGAGCGAAAAAAAAAAACTAAACAAAAATGAAATAAAAGAACAATAAGATAACTTCATAGTATTATTAACCTAAACGACGCGGCGCGCACTATGTAGCTGACTGCGAACGGCGGCGGTTGTCTTTCTTTTTGCACGAGTGGCGCGCCTCGCTAATGTTTACATTCCGCACCGATACAAACAACAACAAAAGGCAATAACAATGCACCAATACGAAGTTTTAGCCAATAAAATAAATGTACGCGAAGCGGCGAAAATATTCAATTTTCATTAAACGAAAAGACAAAAACAACAACTGCAGCAGCGGCAACCCAGCACACAGACTCACACACACACACACAGAAGCACCTGAATTCCAATTTAAACAAGCAAAAACAAAAACAAAACACAAAATAGGAACCAAAAGAGCAACAAGAATTCAAGCAAGAAGCGCTAAAGAGAGGGAAAGAAAGTAAAGCTTCAAGTGAAAATCAGGCCAAAGCGATTCTTTTTTTTTCTGTATTTTGTTGTTGTGTGTGCACAAGAATAACAAATGAAACCTGAACACAGTCCAAAAATCAAGTGAAGAAATATCGAAAAAGGCCCCCTCCTTCGCCCCCTCTAGCACCCGCCAAAATGGAATTTCTGGAGAATTTATTTAAAACACTGCAGAGCCTTTTGTGTGAGTAAACACAATTGTGAAATTGGGAAATTGTTACAATGACTTCATTTCTTACTCATTGTAGCCTCCTACATCGATCTGGATTATTCACTATGGCTTTATCGTTTCTTGACCCCGCTAATCGTCACCTTTCTGCTGCCACTGGTCTTCGTGGCCCTCATCTACATTTCCTTCCTCGTGCTCTTCATCTACAAGTTGCACAGGTAAGCGAAAGAAAAACACGCGGCAATTGGAAAGGCAAGGGAAAATGGGAAAGAATTCAAATGGGAGTAATTGCACTCGGCGTTTTGTCCAATCCAACGGTAAATGAACTCTCTCATGCTGATCGAGCATTTTTTTGTTACCCTCTCTCTCTCCCGCTCCCGGCTGCTCTCCAGCTGTAATTAAAAAGGATGGGGAGAGTGGGAGAGTGCACTCTCCTTGGCACTGGTTCTGCTGCGCCGGCAACAGCGGCAGAGCAGCGACTGAGGCTGTTGAGCAGGTGATCAACATTGCCAACTTTTACTTGTCTACCTTACACACACACATACACTTGCCTGTCTGTGTGCCTTTATTTATTTTCTATTCGTAACTCTCTAATACGCGACCGGTTGGCCATGCTAATTAACTGAAAAGCTCTAATACAGCCACTAGTCATTGGCCCTAATGGCTCTAACTATAATAGCTAACGATGTTCCGTACTTCCCAAAGCATTTGTGCACTGAGAAAAATAAGAATAATAATAATAAAAGAATTTGGAAATATATCAGATATATATCAGATGCAAATTTTAAAATTTTAATAAACAAACAAATTTTTATAAATTTTCAAAAAAAAAGAAATACAATATTTTCTGCACAGTGCACAGAAAAAAAGAAAACAACAACAAAAATACAGTTCGATAAGCAGTGGAAATGAAAAAAGTAAATCAGAGAACCAAAACACGCCATGAAACATTCAAACATTCCTCCACTTCGATATTGCTTTCGTTGTTGCTATTACTTTTGCCGCGATAGCGTCATACGCATTACTTATGGATGCCTATTATCAGTTCACGGTCACTGGCGTAATCACAGGAATTATAAATCCATAAAAGGCCGAAGCGGTCGGGAGGGGAGGGGGGCTTTGGAGGGTCTCTGAATGCAATTAACTGAACCGAAACTACCGCAACCCATATAATTCCCTCACAAGTTCGCACATTATACTCTTACACTGTTTTTTATTGGCATTGCGAACGAAACGACCCGACGCCAGACTGCAGCAGGAACAACTATAAATATACAAAATGCTTAGTGGTTCTTTATAAAACACACACAAAAAATGTTGCGATTTGTTGATAAACGACTGGCAATTAACATGTCATGAAATTGTTACAAAATAGCCAAGAAGCAACCTTGACAGTGCCGCCTCAGGGGGAGGGGGTGATAAGCTCAATATGATAATCCACCTTGAACTTTGTTTAAAGTGTAAAGTATTTAAAGTACTTGGGTAATTAGAAAGTACTCAAGTAACTGAATCCATATGACAATAACACAATGTTGTCTTGAAAGGTTAAATTGGGTTTTTTATAGAGTTAAATTGATATCATACAATATTACGTTAGATATTTTTATACACTTTTAGGGTATTATATTTTAAGTAAAAAGTTAGCAAACGCCGTAAAAGGATCATTTCCGACCCTGTAAATCGTATATATTCTTGATCAGCATCAACAGCCGAGTTAATCTAGCCATATCTTCTTCCTTTTTAACTTTATAAATTGTTAAAAAATATAAAAAAAGATTTTTTGAATATCATCCCCTCAAGCGAAATATAAAATATGAAATATTTGGGATATATTCTGTTCTATCTATTGGTTATTCAAAATATACTTTTTCGTGACAGTCTTCTTATTTATTTATTTATTTTAATTATTTTTTTCTTGTTTCTAATTCCTGCCCCGACTTTGTTTTGGTCGCCAAGGGGCCGCTAGAAGATTTGTGAATGAACCCTGTTATCAGTTCCCCCACTAAACGCAGTTTCTGCCAAGGTGAGAGGCACGATCCCCAGTATGTGTGTGTATATTGATTTATAAGTTCTTTGATATGCATGGGGAGACATGACCAATTTAACACGCTGATAACACCTGCGGATGACAGCCAACTAACTAAATTTAAACACAAATTATCAGTGTTTTCCATTTGTTTAGAATTTAGCAATTAATTAGGTAGCCAAAGCAAAAACCTGAAAATTACCCATCAAATTAAATTTTTTTTTCTGTGCTTTCGACCCCAAGATTCAAGTACAGAAAATATTTAAAGTATTTTTGGGATTGTTATTGGCTTTCTAGAGTTAGGGAAACAATTATGTTTTATGAAGTAGAAAGAACTAGATATGATAAAAAAAGATACCTAACTTTGATAAGGCGAAGTTTTTATACCCTAGTATTTTTCAGTTGGATCATGGGTTTAAAAATCCATCATAACTAAGCTAAAAATGCATTAATTTTAATTCGGAAAACTGCTTTGTGTTAGTTTTTATGAATATAACATTTTTGCATACTACATTTAGATTTTAAAAAAATTCAATTTTTTTGATAATTTTAACGATGTAACCCCTTATAAAATTTTTGAAAAAATTGAGAAAAATGTTTTTCCTTCGGATATGGCTAGATAGATGCGCCTGTTAATGCTGATCAGGAATATATATGATTTATATGGTCGGAAATGACTCCTTCACTGACTAAAATCATAATAACCTTCAAGAAGACCGGAAATATTTTAATTTGTTACATGGGATATTTATCCATAATTTTTATGATAATTTTTAGGCAAATTAAAGTTTAAAAATATCATAACTAAATCAAAAAAGCATCAAATTCAATTTGGAAAGCATTTCTGTGTTGGGTTTTTATAGGCTAACAATTCTGCATTCTCAATTTTCAATTTAAAGAAATCGAAATTTTTTTTTTATAATTTTCTTTAAAATTTTTATGATGGAACCCCTTTTAAAATTAAAAAAAAAAATTTTTTCCTTCTAACATGTCTAGAAAAACTAGCCTCTTGATGCTGATCAAGAATATATATGATCTATAGGGTCGGAAATGACTGATTATGCCACAAAATTACATGTTTACATGCTAAGCTCCTGTGTTAGACAGAGGTGGGGCAGGAAAACTTAGCTTCTGGCTAAAAAAACATTTAATTATATTTTCTTTTTTGAATTTTTTCCCCCATAGACAAGTCATTATGCGAGCTGTCCAAACGGATCGCAACTTTTGGCGTGTTGGCCGCAAAATTGTGGCTGCCATTTGGGATGCACACGCCCGGATCTATCACGGCTACGAGGTAATCGGACTGGAGAACATACCCCAGGAGGGTCCAGCGTTGATTGTCTATTACCACGGAGCCATACCGATCGACATGTACTATTTGAACTCACGGATGCTGTTGCAGCGCGAACGCTTGATCTATACGATCGGCGATCGGTTCCTGTTCAAGTTGCCCGGTTGGGGTACCATTTCGGAGGCCTTTCACGTCAGTCCCGGCACCGTGCAGTCATGCGTGAGCATTCTGCGGGATGGCAATCTATTGGCCATCTCACCGGGCGGCGTTTATGAGGCCCAATTCGGTGATCATTACTACGAGCTGTTGTGGCGCAATCGTGTCGGTTTCGCCAAGGTGGCCCTCGAGGCCAAGGCACCCATAATACCGTGCTTCACACAGAACCTGCGCGAGGGCTTCCGGCAGGTGGGCATCTTTCGGAATTTCTTTATGCGGCTGTACAACAAGGTGCGCATACCGGTGTATCCCATCTATGGTGGATTTCCGGTCAAGTTTCGTACATATCTGGGCAAACCGATACCGTACGACGAGAACCTAACGGCCCAGGATCTGCAGGTTAAGGTGAGGAGTTGAATTTTACAGCAAATGAAATAATAATTGGATTTTTTTGTTAACTTTTAGGTGGCCACCGCTATTGAGGATTTGATCAATCAGCATCAGAGGCTGCCAGGCAGCATTTTGATGGCACTACTGGATCGTCTGCCTTCCTTTAGGCGCTCAAAGAGCGGCGTCAAGAACAAGAATGAGTAGTGAACCGAGGTCTAAATCTATATCTAGATGGTACCTTCCCCCCTAGTTAATCCCATTTCCATATAGAGTATATAGAGAGATTAACAGATTGACTTTGGTTTTTGGCCATATAAAGACTTTGGTTCCCATGTGTACTTCATAGTGTGTGTATAGGCAGCGCCATATATACTTACATATAACTATATATATCTCTGTAGATCGTGCATATATATATATGATTTTTTTTATTGATTTTGTAAATGCTTACCCTTTTATATATATATTTTTTTTAATTTTATAACTGAATCCTTATCGTTCAATCCCCGACACGTACTTTAAAGTGTACAAATCTTCACGTAGATCGTATAAACTTTTAATTAGCTTTAAAAATTAAGACAAAATAAAGTGTCACTAAAAACCCGCCCCACCCCAAAACCTTCCCCCTTCCCTTCTTCCAGACTTGAGTCAAACAAAAACAAGAACACCGAACAAAGAAATTATTTCTACCTTAAACTCTTTTTTTTTCATTTTTATAACAAAGACAAATACCTTAAATACTGTTTTATTTTCTTCTTTTTTGTTTAATCGTTCTCTTTATTTTCCTTTTTTTTTGGTAGTCTCTTTAAACAATTAAATATAATTAGTTTTGCCTTAAGTGATTTCGTGCATCTATATATACATTTACATATATATATCTCATTTTTGTACCTTTTTTATGAAACAAACAAAAAACAAGCAAAAAGTACATATTTTTCTGCCTCTGAGTGTGCTTGTGTGTCTGTCTGTCAGTGTGTGCGATTGTGTGTGTACTATATAGTTAAGAAAAATCGTGTATAATAATATATGTATAAATAAATAGCAATAATATCGGAGTACTTCATGTTCGCTAATTATAAAAAAATTAACACAGGAATTACCACCAATTGAAAACAGAAATAAAAATGTTGAAAGAAAAGGAAATTATAAATTTATGTGTTTGTTTTTTTTTTTTTAAATACGTGTTAGATAGGTAAATATGTATTTTTAAATTTTTATATTTTTCTCTATTTTTTTTATTTTATTTTGATTTTTATTATATTTCTCTAGACACTATTTCTCCTGCTATCTTGCTTTGTCTCTTTCTTTCTCCTTATCTCCTTCTCTCTCTTTCTAGCCTTATCTTATCGTTACTCTTTCTCTTTTTCTCGACACCATTTCTCGCACTATCTATCTTTGATTTTTTCTTTCTCTCTATGTCTTTCTATTCTCTCTCTCTTTCTAGCCTTTTCTTTAGCCTTTTCTTTCTTTTTCGTTACTCTTTCTCTTTCTCCGGAGAAATACTCCTTCTCTTTCTTCATAGAAGCATTCTTTCTCTCGGAAAAATACTCACTCTTTCTTTCTTAGAAATACTTTTTCTCTCAGAGAAATACTTTCTCTCTCTCTCTCTCGGCGAAATGCTCTATCTCTCTTGCGTTCGGAGAAATACTCTTTCTCTCTCTCTCTCGGAGAAATACTCTTTCTCTCTTTCACTCGGAGAAATACTCTTTCTCTCTGTCTTTTGGAGAAATACTCTTTCGCTTTCTGTCGGAGAAATACTCTCTCTCTCTCGGAGAAATACTCTTTTTCTCTCTCTCTCTCTCGGAGAAATACTTTCTCTCTCTCTCTCTCGGAGAAATACTCTTTCTCTCTCTCTCGGAGAAATACTCTTTCTCTTTCTCTCGGAGAAATACTCTTTCTCTTTCTCCGGAGTAATACTCTTTCTTCGGAGAAATCCTGTTTCTCTCCCTCCCACTCTCACTCTCTTCCCTGCTCAGAGAGAGTATAAATAGAGGCACCATCCTCACGCTGGCCTCAGTGTCTTCCCTTCCCATGTGACAGGAGGACCCAGCGGAGACCCACTGAACCCAGGAACAGGGCACATCCCAACTCAATGCCCTTATAAAGGTGTCACATCAGGAATCGGTAGAATGAGTCTGGGGCAATCAGGAAGGGTAAGAAAACAATTGCTATACATATTTATACATTTCTTTTCATATATTTATTTGTTATATTTTTAAAATTCATCTATTTAACGCTAAATGACTTTCCGTTTCCTTAAACCTCTCACACTCGTTTTGCTTTGTCAAAAATCCTACAAGTCTGTACTGACGATGACTAAAGGGATTACATACAATTATTGTTAGTCTACAATCAGGATGGGTGCCTCTTCTTAGCACAAATAATCATAGAGAGCAATTTAAGTGGGGGAATTCTTAAGCAAAACCGAATAAACATATAAGGAAAGTCTTGAAAGTCTTTAATTTCAACTCAAAAGCGGAAGATCAGCTCTCTGGCAACTTAATTTAAATGCATTTAAAAAAAAAAACTAAGCTATAATTTGGTAATTTTGTAATTAAGATACGTTTCTTGTTTAAAATTTTAAAATTCTTTCAAGATTAAGGACAACCCATCCCTTACAAACACATATATAGAGATATATATATTGTATATACCATTTCAGGAATCCGAGGCAGGGATGTTCATGTTCGTTGAGGAACTCACAGCAGATATACTTTATACAGTTCCAAGATTTTAGAACTGCTCAGCCATCAGAAGGACCACAGAAGCTGTCCAGCCGGTGAAGGGATTACAGCCCTTGCCCTCGCCAGTGGTATCGTCATACTGCTCCCACAGATAGCCACTGCGCTGATATTGTTTAAAGATGTTACCCACCAGATTGTCACGCAGCTCGGCATAGATCTCCCGTGCCAAGGCCGCATTCGGACCCTCGATCCGGCCATAATGATGCAGAGCCTTGGCCGCCAAATAGTTGATATTTATCCAGATGGGACCGCGCCAATAGGGCGGATCGTGCTCGGTGTTACGCTTCATATACAAAGGCGAGCGCTTGGACAGCGAACGCAGGCCAAAGTTGGTCCACAATTGCTCTGGATCCCGGAGATCATTTAGCAGCTTCGTCAAGTAAGGTGAGTCATGCTCGAGCTGCTCCAGAAGCAGCGGGAAGAGGCTCACATAGCCAAAGGAGCTGTCCACAAATTGGTAGGTAGGTTCCTCTAGGGTAACTCGCTTCATTTCGGGCTGCTGCTGCTGGTGGTATTGCTGCTGGCGATGTAGCTGCTGCTGCTGCTGTGGCGGTCGCTTCAGTTTCACCTGATCCGAGTGGAGTCCCCAGTCCGCGTACTGTTCACTATATGGAGCCAAATGCAAACGGTTGAGCTCCTCATTGTTGGCCAAAAAGGAAGCCGTCTCATAGTATTTGACATCGTCCTTGCCCAGGATAGTGGACAGCTCGGCCATGACACTGGCCGCCAAAGCAATCCAGCAGCGCAGATCCACATGACGCTCCCGGTCGGTGGGATGCGAGGCACGCGGATAATCATCCAGGCCGGAGGACAGACTCTTGGGGTTCAGCTCACGTGTGGTGGTGGCATTCCGACCGCGCCACAGATAGGTGCCCAGCACTTCACCCTTTTGCGTGGTGTTGTACCAATTGAACCAGGCCTGCATCCTGGGATACAGGCGCTCCAGCGTGGCCAGTCTTCCGTTCTGCGACAATTCAGCCCGATGGCTGGTGAGGAGCTTCCTTAGGGTAAGGAAAAACGTGGGCGGATTGGCATTGCTGTTCCGCTGGGTAACAAACTCCTCGGGCACCTTGGCCAAAGCCTCTACGCCCAGGATCTGCTCCCTGGGTATCCAGCCCTCCACGTTTAGGAGATCAAACCAATGGCACAGAATATCCAGCTCTATGTCTATGTCCCAGGCACTGATCAACAGGCCATGGAAGCCCTCATCCCAGAGGAAGCCGCGCGGAAAGAAGCTACGCGACGGCACAGCTGTATATAGCGGAGCCTTCCAATATGGCACCGGGCTCTTGGTATGCACCGATTGCACACGACTGGAGCCATAGAAGTAACCAATGCCGCCAAGCATGTTGCTCATGGCATTCCTGGCGAAACGCACCTCCTCCGGCGAGTGACCCTTCTTCTTCAGCTGGAAACGATCCTCGAAGCGCCTCTCAAACTCGGATATCTTGGCCTGCAGCGATTCCTGGTAGGCCCTGCCCGTCGGTGGCTTCGGTATCGATTGTCCCAGCGAGAATCCCGACGTCGATTGATAGGTGATGTCCAGCGTAAAGTCCACCTCGGCCGTGATTTGTATGGCTATAAAGTTCGGCTCCGGATTGTTGGAGGGCAGACCATTCTGGGAGACTATCTCGCCGGGCAGGCCTATAAACCGATTGCCTCGCTTGTCGGCAAAGGCGCGAAAATGCGAGAAGAGCGTATCCTTGAGCTTGCCCAGCGATGGAGCCACGGTGCTCAGATAGGATTTGTGCAGAATCTTGCCTTTGACCGCATGGAAACGGACTTGGAACTCGCCCAGGCCCTGCGTCTCGCCGTAGACCCCCGGCTCGGGGCTTTTGTCATCCGAAACGTACTTGATGTGACCATTGGTGCGCTCATCCAAGGCCACATACCAGATTAGGGAGATGCTCTTGTCCCAGGCACGCGTGGTGTTCCGCACCGAGATCCTGGCCGTCCAATCGCCGCCAAACTGCTTGCCCTCCGGATACTTGACAAAGGATGTCTTCAGCTCAAAGGGCAAGTCCTGGATCTCCTGGACGCCAAAGCTTCGGCCATCGTGATGCGTCCAGCCGTACGAGTCCAGCTTGTCGCCCTGCTCGCACCAATGGCGTATGCCCTGGCCACCGGGTCCCAGATTACTGGGCGTATACCACATCAGGCCCATGACCAGGGAATGGGGATCGCGAGTCTTCATCCCGAAGTAGTTGAGCGGCCTGTAGGTGCCCCAGTACCGGTCCAGCTGATCCAGGCCCGTCTGAACCACCATCTTCTGGTGGTCGAACGGCGTATTCACCCGCGTCTCCAGGTAGCCCAAGTAGCCGAAATACGAGGCAATGCCCAGGCACATGCAGCCAATGAGCGTCTTCCACTTGTCCAGCATGAGGTTCGAGGACAGGCTGAATCTCGTGTTGCGTTTTTGTTTGGCACTCGAAGCCGCTGCCGCTGCTGCTGCCGCCGCTGCCGCCGCCGCCGCTGCCGCCGCTTGCGTCGAGCCGGCTGACGAGGACTGTGCCGCGCTGGAGGAACTGCCACCTGCATTCCTGGCCATAATCCGTATCCGTTCGCTGTGCCCTTTAATCGTCTTTTCTGATGATTTGGTTTGGCCCTTTCGGCTGCATCTATTTTTCCTGAGTTAAAACACGAACGAACAAGAATTGTTTTTTTTTTTCTTTGCTACGCGGGCAGTGGTGCCAGACGTGTCGATGGCCACGTAAATTGTTTACAGTCATCGATAATTATCAAATATCGACAATCGAATATTGAAGTTTCAAATTTCAAGTATATGTATTACATTTGTATATTTTAATCTAAAACTGTGTCAATTGACCAAAACTCGTCTGATAACCAGCCCAACTCCCAGTCATTGGTCTTGGTCTTGGAGTTAGAGGATTCCAGGGAATAAAATTCCAGATCCTCATCGCTGGCATAGGGAAGTTGCTTCCAATTGATAGCACCAACATCAACCTGCAGGCTCATCCAACTCTGAACGCGACTAGCGGGCGGAGGACCAGGTATCTGGCTACGCAAGAAGCTACTCCGGCACTCCTTCAGCGAAGGATTCGTGTTGCAATCAAAGCCTATCTTTCGAGGCAGCTTGGGCTCTTCCTCATCGTTCGAGGAAGAGGATGCCTGCACTTTGACAATGTAGCTGTCGGGTTCCAGCACCTGATGAACCTTGGGTTGTCTCGTGGATTGTCCAGGAACCTGGGAATGGCTGCCTTTCCTGGACCGCTTGACCTCCGTTTCACTGCAGGTCAGCATGGACCGCTTCATCTGGACGCACTGGTGGGTATGGCTGCCCAAGGACACCTTCTTGCTGGGGCTAATGGGCGTGAGAGGAGTGGCCAGGCGGCCATCCACGTAGTGGTTATCCGGCTTGGCAAAGATGCCTGCCAGATATTTGAACATTTTGTCGTTTTACTAAAAATTTATGGAATAATTACAAACAATGTCTTGACTTATTTTGCCATGTGTAGAATATAAATTTATAAAGAGTATGTATGTTGATCCAAATCCTGGTTAAAAATTAAGCGCCCAATCGAAATTCAAAAGGTGGCAATTTGTGACGTCACTCAATCGCGGTGCTGCCACACTTTCAAGACCAAACCAGGCGCTCTGGCTAATTTAGCACATTTTTATACACGTGCCATTTATTTTGATTGCGTTTATTTACATTTTTTATTTTTAATATATCTTCGACTAAGATAATGAACGTCAGCGAGGACTTTAAGCCGGTGCCCACCAAGGCGGCACTGGCCTTACAGAAGAAACAACAGGCCAGCAGCGAGTTCAAGGCGCTGGTTTTCCAGGAACCACAATATCTACCGAAATCTAAATCAGATTCCAAGCCGCTAGATCAGGAGGAATCGCAACCAAAGGCCGCCCACAAGATCAAGGAAGCCGGAATGGAGTTGAATCCGGAGTTTGACATAAAGAAGGCACGCCACGAGATCCTGAACTTTGCCACAAGGAATCAGCGCGTCATCAAGAACAAGCGCAAAATGGAGATGTTCCAGCTGGCCAAGCTGGGTGCCAAGCCGCTGAAGAAGCCGGCACGCAACTACAAGGAGCTGAAGGATGAGCGCCAGCGACTGCATAACATCCGCGAGGAGCGGAAGAAGTTCCATCAGCTGGGCAAGAACCAAGCCGGTGCGGCAAGCGTCAAGTGCCGGACCAAAGGACAAAAGGAACGAAACCAGAAGAAGCGGGCGCCCGTCTCCGCCATCGATCAGCATTATGGCAAGGCGCAGCCAAAGTTCAAAGCGAGAAAGTAAAAGTGATTTAACAAATAAACTTAATTTAGCTAAACCCTGTGAAAAGTGTAGATTTGGGCAAGTGCGGGAATGTGGGAATGTGTAGAATGCAAATATGATTGCAATTGATAATCGGTATCGATTTTTCCATGCTTTTTACATTTATTAACAATTAGAATTGTTAATTTAAACAATTAATTGCAATTTTATAAATAAAAAACAATCAAAACGATGCAGTGTGACCGTTGACACTTTGGGCATATATCCTAAAATCTCAAATTAATAAACTTTTAAGACATTGCCAGATTATCAGCTGATAACTGCACTTTCAGCGTTGCTCAGCACTGGTACATTGTTGATACGATTACGTGAATAATTTTTGCCAAGCGAATTAAACTGCTCCAATTAATATCCAGCCCAGGATGTTCTCCCCCTCGCGCGCCCTTCGTCCGGCCCTGAGCCGCTGCTACACCCAGATCAAGGGCGGACCCGTGTCCGGCGGCAGCAGCGCCAGTCGCGGAGCCAGTGCACCAGCATCCGGATCGGGAAGCACACCATCCGTCACAGGACTGACCAGCAATTGCGTGAAGCCCAACTCCGGACCGGTGGGGCCGGGTGCCTCCGTATCCGGAGAATATAAGGTTCCAGAGTACTACTGTTTCAACCGTTTTAGCTACGCCGAGGCGGAGGTGGAGATGGCCAAATACCGCTGCCCGCAGCCATCGGCGGTGAGGAAGTAGGCCAACCAGCTGTTGTTAATGTAAAATAAAACCAAATCAGAGTCAGGCTTGTTCATTATAAAAAAAAACCTATATATATTTTATTGTGAAGGGGGAGAGGAGGGTGGAAACCCCCAGTGTGACCGACAATTTGGTATTTTATGAATCGACGCTGCCCAACACTGGTCGCCGCTCTCTGCTCTCCGCTCCGCACAGTTTTACCGTTTAGTTTTACCCAAGAGCAAGCAATTTGGAGCGCGCGAAGCCTACTGCAAATATCAGTGAAAACCAATAACTATCGCCTATTGCACAAAAATAACAGCCGCAAACCGTGCCAGACTAAGCGTCAAAGTGCAACATTGACGAGGCAACAACCGAAAACAGCACAAAAAACCAACAAAACACAGGGTCATTGGCGTGTGTGTGTGTGGTACAGTTGGGTAGAAAAACATCGCCGTTGCTGGGTTGCCACCTGGTTGTCGGCTCTCCGTCAATTGGTGCCACCACTTTTCGGCCTCTGCAGTTGTGCATCTTTCCGATTTTTTTTTTTTTTTAATCTTCAAAAGGCATTTGTCCGCGCGCCAATACTAAAGAAAAATCGTGGAAATCAGTTGCAAACTGCAGGCAAAGTCTGATTTGCTGCCCCCGGAACGCAGTAGAGAATATTGAACGGCGGTGTGTGTGCATTGCAGCAGCGCAGGCAGAGAGCGAGCGAACGGACGAAAAAGAGAGCGCGTTGTGAAAGTGCCTGGCAAAAGGAAACCAATAAAAAGTGAAAACACAAACGCCCGAGAAAATGTAAAGCTATTTTAGCTAAGGTAAGTAAAGTGGTTGCGGATTGGGACCTGGCCGATATATTTGCCGATTCTTCGTGTTTTCAGTTGTTGCTCCGCCATACATACGTAAGTATGCATGTGTATGTGTGTATATATATACGTATGTGCTCGGCTGGCGCGCGAAAAAGTGACGAAAATAGGCGCCAGAGTTGCCAGAGCTGCGTGCATACACATGCATACATACGTACATCCATTGAAATACAGTGAACATGGCAGTGCTCAAACCCCAAAATCGAAATACTAGGAAAGTCGTGAATTAAATAATAATACTGTGATTATCGATTCGCACTAAATCTAATGCAATTAATTGCTTTGCAAAGCCTGGTGTCAAGAGGCTAATGAATGGAAAAAATGCTGCCATGTTTGTATGTATGCTGCTGCGGCGTTCCAAAGTAACCAATGCCCACTGTCTTCATATATGGTCACAGATTATAACGATCTATTTTGTTTTGTCTTCTCTCGGTGTTCCGTTGCAGGCTAACTCCATGAAAGATGCGAGCTGGGAAGAAGCAAATAGTTGAAAGCGGAAAGACACGTCCTTGCATCGTTTACGTTAAGAATCTGCGCGAGGAGGCAGAGCCCGCCGGCGCTAGACTGAGAAAGAGGGATCCGCGGGAGCTGCAGAAGCAGCAGCGGGAACAGGCGCTGCGAGAGACACCGTCGCGTCGCCCGGGTCGTCCCGCAATAGAAGCGATCCAAAAGAAGCCATTATCCCGCACGCGGCAATCAGTTGCCGCCAAATCCCCTACAGCAACCGTCGACAGCCCCTCGCCGCCCCCTAAGGTCACCAGGGCGACGACAGCGACAACGACGCCCGCCACTGTCATGGCGAAGCGACGAAGCACATTGGTGCTGGGTAATTCCCACCAAAAGTTGACGAGCATCGGTGGACGACGCGGCACCCAAACGGAGACGCATGCCACTCCAAAGATGTATAAGCAGGTTGCCAAGCATTTGGCGCCCAGTAGTCCGCCGCCGACCATTGCGGCCAGCCGCTCCAGGCGCTCCATCAAGCCGAATCCCAAGTACGCCAGCGAGGATGTGGTCACGCCCAAATATATGGCCTCCTTGAGCGGCGAAGGCAGTCCGGTCTCTAGCGGATCACGCCACCGGTCGCAGGCGAAGCCGATATACGCAGAAATTAACGATCTGTTGGACTTGGACGACGAGGACAATGACGATGAACTGGCAGATGCTGCATTCAATCCGCAATTGCACAAGTCCGACGAGGACGACGACGAGGAGTTTATCAGTGACGGGGAGTTTGAGCAGGAGTTGCGTCTCGAGAAGCTGCCGGCGGCGAAGCGCGGACGTGGACGTCCGCCGAAGGCCAATAATGTGAAGACGCCCATCTCTGCGGCAGCAGCTTCCACCACTGCCGCCGGGGCTTCAAATCGAGTATTCCACAAATTGGAAGTTAACTCGAGTCAGGGACGCACTGCACCCGCCACCAATATGCAGCAGCTGCGTCGCACCTTGGCCGGGGCAATGGCTCGAAATAATGCCAGCATGATGGCTGATGGAGGAGGAGCCAAACGGAAGCTGGAGGCTAGCGAAAGTGAGAGTCCCGTTGCTCGCAAGCGTCTGGTCATCTCCTCGGTCGGTGGCAGTGGCCAACGCAGTGTGCCCGTGGTTAATGGCGCCACCAAGAGGAGCACAACGCCCAGTGCTCACGCTAACATCTCAAGGCCCAAGGTGGGGGCCGCCGGCAATGCGTCGAGAATGCAACCACAACGAACATCTGAAGTTGTCTTTAAGGTTAATCCCGCCACCCCGAATACATCCACGCAGAATGCCACAAATACCAGCACACGCTCCACAAGAGGAGCCGGAGCCGGTGGCGGATCAGGAGCAGGAGCTGCCAGCAAATCATCACCGAAAGAAGAGTCTGAGGCCACATTCACCATAGTGAATATCGATGACATTATGAACCAGGATGATGTGCTGATCAGCAGAGCCAACAGTGCACTTGCTGCGGCCGCCTCCAGGACAAGCGGTGCCAGCAAAAAACTCGCCAAGGGAAGGCTCCGCATGAAAGACATCCTTTCCACCAGCAATACGATTGGAGCGGCATTGGAAAAGAAGTTTGCCAGCATTGAGAAATCAACGCCGGTGTCCAACAACAACAACAGCAGCAGCAGTCAGGCGGCGGCGGCGGCGGCAGCCAAGCGATTAAAGATCCTGTCAAGCAATAGCAGCAGCAGTGGGAACGCCACCAAGCCAAGAACTGCCAGCCAGGCGGCTCAATCAGCTGCTGTGTCCAAGCCCCGGCCGCGCATACTCAACACGGAGATGGGCAAGAAGACGCAGCCAATGAAGCCGCTAATGAGCATGGGCAAGGAGCTGTGCCCCACGGACGTGGACACTGAGGAGGATGATCCCGATCCAGACCTGGACCTGGACCTTGATCTCGATCTCGATGAGCCACCCGCATCGATTGTAACCAGACGCACTCCCAGACAGGCACCAGGACCAGCCACAGCAGAGCCCGGCAGTGCGGCAGCATCCAACAAGTGGAGTAGCAGCAGCACCACCAACACCACCACCAATCGCCGCAAAGTGCTTGCCACCACGGCCTCCACGGCGAATGCCCGGGCCGATAAAAAGGAAAGCAAGCTGCTAGCCGATGTCCATGACGAGCCGCCGGTTGTGTTCAAAAAGCCTGGCGGTAGCCCGCAGCTACGCAGCAAGGAGAACCAACAGGAGCAGCGCGACAAGGAGGATGCGCCGCCAGCAAAGAAGGATACAGCTTCAACTGCTACCGTGACCGCATCCAGCGCAGCATCCGCGACAACAACAGTTCTTAGCAGTCCACAGAAATATTTCCCCCCGGAGACAACCACCTTCATGGAGGAGGAGGGTCGCCTGGTGAAGAAGATTACGTGCTATGAGACGTGGCATGTGATCAACTTGCCAACGGAATTGCCAGCCTCGGCGATAGCAGCCCGACAACAGCGCACCTGCCTGGAGCTGGCGCTGGTCAAGCTGGCCAATGTGGCCGCTCGGCTCAAGGTGCCCTCCTCCAAATGGAGCAGCAAGGTGACATTGTATAAGGTATCGCCGACGCTAATGCAGCGCCAATCGATGACCATATTCACCGGTGATCTGCTGCCGTACAACATACCCGAGGAGGATCGCCACAAGTACCAGCCATCGTGTGTTCTGTTCCGTCGCACGGCGTCGGACAGGACCAAGTCCGGTGTGCCCTACGATCGGGCCATTATCTTCAAGAACAAGTGCTTCTATGCCAACATCGATGGCAAGCAGGTGAATCTGCTGGGTGCCCCCGAGACCGTGGACAACATCAAGGAGGTGGAGATATTGCTGGACATTGTCGATCGTCTGACGCTCAATAGCCAACTGGTGGAGATGGTCAATACGAAGTGAGGTGAAGAGGACAATTAGGACTCGTAGTAGTAGCATACTGTAAAAAATGATTCACACAGACACGAAAATATGGACACACTCTAATTTGTTTGAACCACAAACGGAAACGGAAACTTGAAACGTTTACCCCTATATCTATTACTTTTTTTTTTTGTAAAACCATTAACTTAGTTTTAAAGCTTAGTCTAGCGTAATTATCTTTATATACACATATTATATATATATATATAATATCGTAAAAAACAGAAGATGGACATATACATATACATGCATGCATACATACAGTTGGATGTGTATGTGTGTGTTTAGTAAGGAGTAATTTTAATCGGCCCCTGAAATTCGTCTCGGAACTGTGGACACGAACGAAGGCTCGGATGATGCACACACAGGAGCTGAAGTAGCAGGAGGAGGAGCAATTATTTTTCGATTAAATTATGTTTTGATTCAAGACCCTTCTCCCCCTCGAAAATAAACAATTAAATAAATATCCAATCCCCCTTTTTAAACTGGCAGTTAATTAATTATTTAAATCGTAGCTCATTTATTCATGTAACAATAACCGGGCGATCATAAAGCTTAAGAATTGAGGACTAGTGTCTAAGAGAAGTGTACATTTTAAAAGGCCCCCCATTTAAAAACATAAATAAATAAAAGAAAAACTGATTAAACCAATTTTCAATTGAACAACAAAAATGGTAAAATAAAAACAAAGTTGTAAATAAAACATGGGAGTGGGGTAGAGATTATAATGTACTAGAGTTTGTTGTTATCTCGGTTCAAGAGATAATGATTGAGGGGGTGGGGGGATTGCCCTTTATTTAAATTTATCTGCTGTATATAAATTGACAGAATTGCGTTCAGTGTACGCAAAAGAACAACTAAAAAGTTTAGAATATAACATTAAAAATAAATAAATATATTTAACACAAAATATTTAGGTTAAAACAACTAAATAATTTGGAATACACCATCAAAAAACGAATTAATATATTTCTAAACATAATATTTAGGTTGATGAATTTTGAAATTAGGAATATTCACTAATTTAAAAAGTCAATTTTTTAATAATGAATATTCTCGTACCTTAGATAGTGACTTTTCTTAGTTTTAAAATCTATAAACTTATATATATTTTAAATACATTTGTTTTAATTGTTATATTCTTAATTATTTATCTTAGCTTTTTTTTTCAATATAAAAAAATATTAAAATATTGGAAAAAATCTTAAAAGCTATGTAATAAATTTTTCAAAATTTATAATGGAGTTATAATAATAGTTAAACATTTAAAAATTAAAAAATTAAATAAATAAAATTTTAAACTTAAGAATTGAAATACAAATACAATTTTTTTAAATTACTTAAATAAATCTTTCGGTTTTTTTTTCAATATTAAAATTTATAGGAAAAAGAATCGAAAGAGATATGTAAGACATTTTTTCAAAATTTAAATAATAATACTCAGAAATTAAAAATATATATATATATATTAAATATTAATATATATATATATTAGACCTTCAAAGCCGTTTAATAAATTGAATTTAAATACATATATAATTCTTTTGGTTTAGTTATGATCGATTTTAAATAACTATAAAATAATAATAATGAAGAAAAAATTCTATTTATAAATTAGCAACCCAATTTCTCTCAAAGCCATCTAAAAAAAATAAAATAAAATATTTAAATAAATTAAATAAATAAATATAAATTCAAACAAAAACCTATCGATAAGTGCATATTTTCAGTATTTTCACAATAGTATTTTTCTAGCATGTGCCCGTATTTACGTTGCCATTTCCTTTTCAGTATTTCGGTGGTGTGTGACCGTTTCGTGAGTTACATCCCTACAAAACTGCAGACAAAAAGTGAATATTTCGGGTTTTTTTTGTTGTCATTCGTCTGAACTTTCGCCGTGCAATCAATTGCGATTAAATCCGGCCCAGCTAATCCGTATAGCTAATTAGCCAGTGGCGTGGCCGGGCCCCCAGCGCTCCAAGCAGATGGAGCAGGAGCTGCCGCAGTAGTTCGTTCCATTACAGTTTCCATTTCCATTGAACAAAACGAACACCCAACCCAAAAAAAAGAAAAAAAGAAAAAACGCGAAGCAGAGGCGGCGGCGTGCGAGAGCGAGAAAGCAACAGAGAGAGCAAGAGGAGCGAAAGAAAGAGAAAGAGAGGCGGAAAAAAGGAAAACTCGAAAGAAGAAAAACTTGGCATTTTATTCCGGATTATAATTGAAGGGGGGAATATAGCGCGCGCGGCCTAAGTTCCCAACTGAGCACAGATTGAGAGACGCCATGGACGCGGACAGGGGCGGCGGTGGCGGTGGCCAGGAGACGAAGGTCATCTATCACATAGACGATGAGACGACGCCGTATCTGGTGAAGATCCCCATACCATCCGCCCAGGTGACGCTGCGCGACTTCAAGCTGGTGCTGAACAAGCAGAACAACAACTACAAGTACTTCTTCAAGTCAATGGACGCGGATTTTGGTGTCGTCAAGGAGGAGATTGCCGACGATGCCACCATTCTGCCCTGCTTCAATGGGCGGGTCGTCTCCTGGCTCGTGTCTGCCGATGGTACCAATCAATCGGATAACTGCTCGGAGCTGCCCACCAGTGAATGTGAGCTGGGCATGCCCATGACCATGCCCATGCCCATGGGCAGGAAGCAGGGCCAGCTTGGCCAGCAACAGCAGCAGCAGCAGCAGGTGCAGCAGCAACAACAGCACATCCAGCAGCAGCAACAGCAGCACCTCCAGCAGCAGCAGCCCCACCTCCAACAGCAGCAGCAACAGCAGAAGCTCATGAGCAATCCGCTGATGCAGCCGCCACCGCTCACATATCAATCGGCATCGGTGCTGTCCAGCGACTTGGACTCGACCAGCCTGTTTGGCACCGAATCGGAGCTAACCCTTGACCGGGACATGACCGACTACAGCAGCGTCCAGCGGCTGCAGGTGCGCAAGAAGCCGCAGCGTCGCAAAAAGCGAGCGCCGAGCATGTCGCGCACCTCCTCGTACAGCTCCATAACCGACTCGACGATGTCTCTCAACATAATCACCGTGTCGATCAACATGGAGGCGGTCAACTTTCTGGGCATCTCCATTGTCGGCCAATCGAATCGCGGCGGTGACGGTGGCATCTATGTGGGCAGCATTATGAAGGGCGGCGCCGTTGCCCTGGATGGAAGGATCGAGCCGGGGGATATGATACTCCAGGTGAACGATGTGAATTTCGAGAATATGACCAATGATGAGGCGGTTAGGGTGCTGCGTGAGGTGGTCCAAAAGCCGGGACCCATTAAATTGGTGGTGGCCAAATGTTGGGATCCAAATCCCAAGGGATACTTTACCATACCGCGAACGGAGCCGGTGCGACCGATTGATCCCGGTGCCTGGGTGGCACACACCCAGGCGCTCACCTCGCACGACAGTATTATCGCCGATGCCATGTCGGAGCCGATTAAGGAGCGACTGGACCAGAACAACCTCGAGGAGATCGTCAAGGCGATGACGAAGCCGGACAGCGGACTTGAGATACGGGATCGAATGTGGCTGAAGATAACCATACCCAATGCCTTCATCGGTGCGGACGCCGTCAACTGGGTGCTGGAGAATGTGGAGGATGTGCAGGATCGGAGAGAGGCCAGGCGGATTGTCTCGGCGATGTTGAGGAGCAATTACATCAAGCATACGGTCAATAAGCTGACCTTCTCGGAGCAATGCTATTACGTTGTCAACGAGGAGCGCAATCCGAATCTGTTGAACCGCGGTCCGGGCCATCTCCATCCGCACCAGCATCCGCATCCGCATGGGCATGCACTGAGCCATGCGGACACCGAGAGCATCACCAGCGACATCGGGCCGCTGCCAAACCCGCCCATATATATGCCATACTCGGCCACGTACAATCCAAGTCACGGCTATCAGCCGATCCAGTACGGCATCGCCGAGCGACACATCTCGTCCGGATCGAGCAGCAGCGATGTGCTCACCAGCAAGGACATCTCGGCGTCGCAGAGCGACATCACCTCGGTGATCCATCAGGCCAATCAGCTGACCATTGCCGCCCATGGCTCCAACAAATCCTCCGGCTCCTCGAATCGCGGCGGCGGCGGAGGAGGAGGAGGCGGCGGTGGTGGTGGTGGCAACAATACCAACGATCAGGACGTATCCGTATTTAATTACGTATTGTAGAGAAACCTTTCTTTTTGCAATCAAATTGTGTTTTTAATTAATTAAATTAAAATATGTACGATTATTCTTTTTTTATATACGAGTATACAAAGCAAACAAAACGGCAAAAACAACAATATAATAATTAATAATTAATAATAATACTTATGTATAATGTACGTACTTTGTAAGTCATAGAAAAGAACGCATAACACACACACACACACAATACACGAAGGAGGAGCGCATAACGACGATGATACGAAGTGCAGAGCGGAGGATCGGAAGGAAGCAGAAGAAGGAACGCGAGAGATCAGATCAGGTCAAACTTCAAAAATATATATGATAAGATCGAGATCGAGATGGAGATCGGAATCGGAAGCGAGGACGATATGATGGCGGAGGATCGGGAGGATCAGTTACGCGGCACCATGAGTATGGCCGATCGATGGACGATGATTTTGAATAAAGTTCTAAGAATTTAGTAATCACAAAGTAAATAAATACAAATAAAATGAATAATCGATGGCTTTTATTATTATTATTATAATTTTATTTTTATACATTTATTTGAATTTTTTTGTATTATTTCCCTTTTTGTATTGTTTTTTATTATTTATTTATTTGAATTTTTTTATAATTATTGATTAATTGTATTTTTTTTATTATTTATTTAAATGCATTTTATTTATTATTTATTTGTTTGTATTTTTTTTATTAATTTTTTATTATTATTTATTTGTTTTATTATTTTTATTTATGTATTCGTACTTTTTTTGTATTATTTTATTATTTATTTATTTGAATTTTGTTTATTATTTATTTATTTGTATTTTTTATTATTATTTATTTGTTTTATTTTGTTTATTATTTATTTATTCGTACTTTTTTGTTTTATTTTATTATTTATTTATTTGAATTTTGTTTTTATTTGCATTTTTTTCTTTATTTATTCACATTTTTTTTATTATTTGTTTATTTGTATTTTTTATAATTATTAATTAATTGTATTTTTTTTAAATATTTATTTATATGCATTTTATTATTCTTTATTTATTGGGTTTTTATTATTAATTTTTTTATATGGTTTTTATTTATTTATTTTTTTTTATTATCTATTTATTCGTATTTTTTTTATTATTTTATTATTTATTTATTTGAATTGTTTTATTATTTATTTATTTATATATTTTTATAATTATTAATTACTTGTATTTTTTTTTATATATATCTATTTGTATTTTTTTATTATTTATTTATTTGCATTTTTTTATTATTTATTTATTTGTTTTTTTTATTCTTTTTTTATTTGTTTTTTTTTTTTTTAATATTTATTTATTTATTTTTTATTGGGGCAATTGGGCAATAGAAGATCTCTGCCAGACGATGGAACAGATTTATGGTCCGTACGTGCCCTTTAGGAAAAACAGAAATCAATCTATAAATAGATTTACCTCTTTTAAAGAGAACTTCCCCTTTCCATAAAATACGCCCACTATCCGAAAAAGTGCTGAGGTCTAACTGGTTCCTTAATCGAAAATATTTAAGAAAATTATTTAAATAATCGATATAATTTTTGAAGAATATATTAACGCTTATTGAATGTAGGTACATTATCTTATATATTTTTATTTATTTATTTTATTGAGAAATAAAAATAACAATCAGAACCTTAACATATTTAAATTACTAAATATATTTAATATTATATTTAATTTTTTTCATATCTGAAAAAAATATATGTATTGTATATAAATCCCTTTAAAGTATTTACTTTTTAATTCGAATTTTATATACATTTTTTATATATAAAAAAATGAAGCATTTTCAAGAAACTCTTTTATATATAAATAAGTAAAAATTAAAAATGATTTAATTAAGAAACAATTATAGAATAGCCCTGCTACCATCCCTGTTGGTTCATAACTATCGCTAAAAACCATGCCTGCTTCCCGATAGTGTCATCTCTAATGTGCAAATAAACAAAACAAAAAAAAAACGCCTACAAAAATTTTTCATTGATTTTATACAAAGAAATTCTGAAAATTCCACGATAAGAAGACTTAAAAACAGACAACTTTTAGATATATGTAAATAGTGTAAATAATAGAATAATTCACGAGAATTTGCAACCAAAACAAAACAGAAAATAAACCATAAAACCAAGAAAACAAAACACCAAAAATGGCAACCGAAGTGGAGCCGGCAAATACGGCGGACAAGTTCTCCGCCAATGCCGAGGAGCTGGAGAGTTACTATCTGATGCTGGAGGCGGGCAACATACCGGAGCTCCAGTGGCAGTTCCCCGGACGAAGGGAGCCCTCGCCGGAGCTGGTGGGATCCGGCAGGAATAGCAAGGAACTGGAGCAAACCGCCGATGCCATCGAACAGGAGTAAGTTTTATTATTAATCGGGATTTAAGACAAACAGATATATATATATGTTATGTGATTGCTCGCCTTAGACCCCAAAAGGCCAATGACTTTGACTTTAGCGACGAGGTGGCGCCCACCCAAATGCGGGTCCGCAGCCAAACGTCCACGCCCAAGTCTGCCAAAAAGAAGACGGCCAACTTTGCCGGCGTCATGGAGACCCTGAAGAAGAAGAATGCGGAGAGCTCCTAGCACACACTGAAGTTCTGATGCATCCAGAAGAAGGGGATCGGAACTGCCACTCACCCGAATCTAAAGATCACACTTCGCGAGGGTCTGGTTATAAAGGTCTGCAAGCTGTTGGAGAAACCCGAGGAACCAAGCTCTGGTGGCCATAGGAGGAACTAAGGGAGAGGAAGATAAGTTGAGTTTTTTCTTTGAAAAATTACTAAATTGGGTTATTTTTAGAAGGTTTTAAGATTATCTATTCTATCTTTTATATTATTTATATTTATAAGTTATAAAATTGAAGATGTAAGAATTTTAAGATTATTTTTACTACTTTTCTATCGTTTTATATATATCATAGAAAGAATTTCAGAACAGTTCCAAAGCTTAGCCTCTCCATAAATTAAATATCTATAGTTTTTGTACCCTTTCAGGGTTTTATCATTTAAATCAGAAGCTATACTAAAATTAAATATGTTATAAATATTATTGATCAGCATCTACAGCCAAGTAGATCTAGCCAAGTCCGTCTGTCCGTTTCTAGGCAAACTTTCTGAGTTTTTTAAGCTATTTGAAAGAGATTTAAACTTCAATCAAGATTAATTTGTAGAAATAGTAATGTTAATAGAATTGCTTATGATAAATATAAAAATTTATTTTTAAAATTAAGTATATATTAATATTTATAAGTAATGAAAATTAAGTATAATGATATTTGGCTTAAATAAATTTTTAAAGAATTATTTTAAAAGCAAAAATATATTTTTTAAGAATTATTTTAAAAGCAAAAATATATTTTTAAAGATTTATATAAAAAAAAAACATATGTATATATTTAAAGAATTATTTCAAAAGCAAAAATATATTTTTAAGGAATTATTTTAAAAGCAAAAATATATTTTTTATGAATTATTTTAAAAAACAAAATGAAAAGTTATTAAACAAAAAAATTGTATATACATTCACACAAAGTTGTGTAAACAAGGCAATGAAAGATGAACTACTAAATATTAAGTCTTACAATGAATATTATATTAATCAAAAAGGATTGATTTTAAGTTTTAAAAAAAAGATTTAAATTTAACACAAAAATACACAAAATATAAACAATGAAACCGAAGCTCTACATAAAATGAATACATAAAATAATATTATAAAATAATATAAATACATAAAATAATATTATAAAATTATATAAATACATAAAATAATATTATAAAATAATATAAATACAAAAAATAATATTATAAAATAATATAAATACATAAAATAATATTATAAAATTATATAAATACAAAAAATAATATAAATACATAAAATAATATTATAAAATAATATAAATAAATAATTTAAAGAGCAAAGGTGGAGAAACCTTTTTATATATTTTATTAATTAAATTAAACTAAAATCTTTTTGTGTAATTTTTACTTAAACTAAAAAACCTATAGGGTTATGTAGGGTTAATAAATTACCATATAAGACTCTCATAAAAACTCCCCCAAAGCACAGAGACCACTGTAGGTCTTACAAGGCACTAAGTGCCTAAAATTGGAGTTACACAGGGGGCCAGGTTCGAATGAACCCTACTCGCTATTAATATACATTAAATATATATTATGTACATTAACAATAAAATAAATATAAAAATCTGTAAATATAAACAAGTGAAAATTCCACAGAAAGCTGTTAAAATGAACGTGTTTGAGAGTAAATGCAAATTATTGATTGAAATCAACGCAAGGGTCCCGAATAACCGTATAAAATTCATATAAATATTTTATGTACTAATTAAAATATGTGTTTATATCAAAGTAATAATAAATTAATCATTTAGAATAGGAAAAATGAATTAAAATAACAATAAATAAATATTAAGAACTGAATAAAGTCTTTACTAAAGACTAAAATCATGCTGTCTCTTTCATTTTTGTGTTTGATTTTTTATGTATAAGGGATCGAATAATCCTGTTATAATTTAATTATATATAATATATATATAAAACTGGAGAAAAATATAGATTTAATACGTTAACTAAATATTATTTAAATATATAATCATATAGATATAATTTTTTTTAAGAAATCTTTCTTTTTTTTCTCAAAATTTAAATCTATATATTTAAGTGTCTGCTCAGAATTAAAAAAATAATTATAATAAATAATAATTTAAAATAAAAAAATATATACATATATGTATATTAAATATTAATAGTTAATTATTATGGGAATATTTTAATATATTTAATGATTCATATTTATATTTTTACAATAAATTTAATTATTTTTAAATTCGATACTTAAGGGTTTTCAATATTTTCAAAAGGATATTAAGCGCGATTTACACAAAAAAAAAAAAAATATAATAATAAATAAATAAATCTTCGAATAATTATTGTGGTACTCTCTTAATTCGTTTAATGATTAAAATTTATATTTTAACAATAAAAATAATTATTTTTCAATATTTTAAATTCGATACTTGAAGGTTTTTAATATTTTTCAAGGACATTGACCGCAATTTCAAAAAATAAAAATATAAATAAATAAATACTTGGTACTATTTAATTTCGTTTAATGATTAATCTTTATATTTTAACATTAAATTGTTATTTTTCAATATTTCAAATTTCGATACTTGAATATTTGGTTAGCCTCTATTTTAGCTAGAATTTCCACCTTTGCCCCTTTTGGCACCCCTTAAATCGCCCCAATTAATAAATAAAACTCTTGAATAAAATTGCACATTTAAACACGTAAGAAAATTGATTTATTTTGCCGGACAAATATCCGCTTCTCGTTGAAAACACATCAATAATAATAAGTTATTGTGCCTGCGCTGCTCTGTGTCTGGTTGGTTGTGCATAATCCGGCGCTTGTATAGTGCTGCTTGATCAGCATTTATGTAAATATATTGTGTATATAGTATGTAAATGTGTATATATATAATTCGTTTTTGTTTCAAAGTATTTTGTAGGTTAAAAAATGGCATTTCATCAACTTTAATTGACATTTACCTTAGAACTATATGTGCACATATGTTGTTTTTTTTTATAGTTTTAGTTTTTTTTCTTTCTTTTTTTAAATTAGATTTATCTTAAAAATTTAAAATATATTTTTTTCTTATTATATTATTTACACCTTTAAAATGTTTTGCTTTGCGTTTTCGGTTGAATAAATGCACAAAAAAAATTAAGCTCAAGCTTAACAATATTTAACAAAGTCGGCTAAAATATTTTTGTATATAACACAATAATAGTTGAGAATTTTTTGTTTATATTACATATAAATGTTTATATATAAAGCCAAGGGGGGAGGGGGCGCCCTGCACTTAGTCAAGAGAAGAAGAAGGGGGGTTTTTTTTAGCACAAAAATAAAAACTAATCCAAGAGAAAGGCCAGAGCAAAGGTCGTCTGCTGATGGATGGTCAAGTGGGTGTTGGGTTCTGTGTTTTAAAAACATACAGTTACAAATGCTAACAGCTTAAAAAATTACCTAACTTCTAACTATATATATATACGCGTGTGTGTATCATCATTCCGCTGTGTTTAAAACACCTTTAACCCCATGTGCCCTGCGTTACTATTCCCCACCTCCTTCCATATTTGGAGGCAACTGTTGATGTGGATGCGGCTGTTGTTGGTCCCCCAGCGGAAAGACATTGACGCCCACCTCTCGCGAGATTAACTCCACAATGGTGGCGAAGCTGGGCCGGGATTTGGGCGTGATATGCCAGCACATGAGCATCAGGTCGTAAATGAACTCGGGGCAGTTCGTACTAGGTCGAGGTAAGCTAAAAAAAAACAACATGAATATAATTAGTTATCATTTTAAAAGTTAATCAAAAGAAAAATCGATAAACAAGTTATCATTTCAGAAGTTAATCAAAAGAAATATCGATATATTAGTTATCATTTTATAAGTAAATCAAGAGAAAAATCGATAAGCAAGTTATCATTTTAAAAGTTAATCGAGAGAAATATCGATATATTAGTTATCATTTTATAAGTTAATCAAAATATACATTTTTATATTGATATTTGGCTAATATTTTCGGTAAATCGATATTTTGTTTTATATATCAGATAATTTTTCATTAGCATCTATATTTTAATTATAAATATGAAAGAGTTGGATATTAAAAAAATAATCGTAATCGATTTATTTTCTAAAATATCGAAAAAATCGATGATTTGAAAATATCTTTATGTATTTTAATTTGTTTTTTTTTTCTTTGATTTCATTGAATTTAAGAAATAAATAATTAAGTTTTTGAGTTATTCGATGTTATTTTCTAAAAGATACAAACAAAATCTATGCAGCGAGTATAGATTTTTTTCCAGCTCTATATAAAACCGTATATCAATGCCTAGCATCTTAGTTTAGGGTCTTGGTTTTTTATTGTTAAAATTTTTAAATATATTTTTATATATTTATAACATTTTTAATGTCTTTTCCCAAATTGAATTCTTTTGATTTTAATAATTGCCTTAAGGGTTATTTCAAACGATAACCTCATCATCAATCGGCCTCATTATTCAGTTTGGCACGTCGCACAATTTAATGAAACAAGTAGATTAGACATATTATGATTAAGTACTCTTATTTTATTTGGACAAAAATTTGCTACTTGTCATACATCAAACTGAAAGCGAATTTGCTTTGATAACCTTTAAATCAAGGTGTCTCACTTACCGGTCGCCCCTCAGCAGGCGATTTAGGAACGTTTCTGACGGCTCCACCGGCTCCAAAATGGGTTCTCCCCCAATGGAGAATGTCTCAAAAAGAGTGACGCCATAGCTCCAGACGTCCGAGTACGATGAGAATTTGTTTGTGGCAAGGGCCTCGGGTGAATACCTGGTCAAAATAGATCAAGAGTTCATATTCAATATTCAGTAAATAGTAATCAAAATTCGAAAAAATATTTATAAATACGTTGTTATTCGACCCATCAACTATGGGTTATCTCGCCTTGATAACACACATTTTCTTTTTGAAAAGTCAATAGCTTAATGGCTTTTTTTGTAACAAAACAAAACTAGTTTTATAGTCTTGATTTCGTGGGGTTTTTTTTTTTTTTTTTAACTAATCAGAGTTTATTTGAAATAAATATATAAAATATATTATAAAAATATATAAAATATATTCTTTCCTACTCACCACATTATGGGCAGCTCCCGATTGTTCTGGGCTAAGTAATATCCATCGGAATTGGCAAACTGCGCCAGGCCAAAGTCTGAGATTTTTAGGCAATCTTTGCCGCTGGTGCGATCGACCAGAACGTTGCGGGTGGACAGGTCCCGATGGATCAGGCCCATGTCGGACAAGTACTTCATGCCCTGTTAGGGAAACAACAACATTTATTTTTTAGTTTAAAATAATAATTTAAAAATAATTATATAAATATTACTTATCCGAAAAAGAAAAATATATTATTTTAATATAAAAATATAAAATATAAAAATAAATATAAAAATATAAATATGTAAAATATAATATAGTTTAAAAATAATTATATAAATATTACTGATCCCAAAAAGAAAGATATATTATTTTATTATAAATATAAAAATAAATATCTTGATATTAAAAACTTAATAAATGTATAAATAAATACAAATAAATGAACCCAAGCAAATCTAGAGTCGATTTTAGGTCCTACTCACGTGTGCGATGTCCAGCGCGTAGCCAATGAGACGTGCATTGTTGAGTTTTGGCGACTCCAAGCCCAGATACGTCTTGAAGGAAGCGAACAGGAACTCCATCACAATGGAGGTGAGCGACTCCGACCAGTACTTGAACTTGACGACATTCGGATGATCCAGCGTGCGCATGATCTGCATTTCGCGCTTGAAATCGTTCATGGATACCTGCATGGCCTTCAGTTTCTTGACGGCTACCCGCTCCCGTGGCCGTTCCTTGTCATAATACTCCAGGTGACCGCGATAAACCACACCGAAATTACCCTCCCCGATCTTGTCGCTTTCGCAGTACAGCAGCCGGCAGTCGTTTAGCTCCACAACCATTAACATGTCGGCACTGGGGAAGATATTGTCCACGTGCAGCTCATGGACGCTTTCGCCATCCTCCGCCTCGCCAGTTCCATCTGGACATTGGAACTAGTAAATTTTGGAACTTGTAAAAGGATTAATAGGAGACTCACTCATGGCCAGGGAGGGGGTATGATAGGCTCCGCCCTTCAGTATCGACTTGATGCTGACAAGGCGGGAGAAGATGTCATGATGCTTGAATCGCTTGGTCGGATCCTCGCTCCAGCCATCCATAATGGTCTCGAATATGGGCGGCGGACAAATGTCCGGATCGAGCAGCGGCAGGATATTGCCATCGAGTAGTCGCTGCCGCTGGAGATCTGCCTGCGTCAGCTGGCGCAAATCCTTACGGCAGCGCGTGAAGATCTCATAGGTGGTGGTGGCAAAGGCCCACAGCTGGGTGGCCAAATCCTTTTTGGCCGCCTGCAGATTCCTATAGTATTTGGTGGGTATCCAGGGGGAGCTAATAATAATGTTTTTAAGTATATATTTATATATATAATCATAGAAATACTCACTCCGATTCCCGGTAGGGACGCGGGTAACCCGGATCACTGATCTTGGCATCTAAAACCGGCTCCCTACCACCGGATCCAGGATCATATTTGGTCACATAAAGATTACTGCAACGTATGTAGTTGTGTATGATCTTGTTGTCCTCCAGGTAATGCATGCCGCGCACCAAACCCTGCATCAGATCCAGCAGGCAATCCATGCTGATGTCGCGGGTGGTGTAGAGGAACTTATTCAGAGCTCCGTAGCGCGGATACTCCATGACCATGGTGTACGGATCCGAGAGGGTGAGGCCGTACAGCTTAAGGAACTGCGGCGACTGGATGAGGGTCCAGCTTTGGGCCAAACGAAAGAATTCCATAAAGTTGCCATCGCTTTTCATCATCTTCATCGTCACGGAGACATCTTTGACGGGACTCTGCTGGATCCAGTCCCCACGCATTGTAAACATCATGCCGTCATCGCCGAGCGAAATGGAATCTGTTTATGAAAAACAAGGCTTAAAATATCTATCTATTCCATTGATTATAGATTTCCCGCACCTGGATACCATTGTAGATCCGTTTTGGGATTAAAGATCTGGGGATTGCGTCGCTGCAGCTCCGCTTCGCTCAGCTGCAAGTCAGTCTTTTTGGCCTTTAAGTTCTTTGGCAGCAGCAGGAGCAGCAGGGGCGGCGTGTCATACATGGAGGCGGGTATCCTGATGCGTTCGGTTACCTCCGCCTGAATGAAGCGTGCCACTTCCTCGGGCGAATTCAAGGTGTGCTCGTTGTTGTTGATGTTCAGCTTCCACTGCGAGTCCTTGCGAACGATACGAAATGTCTCTGTCTTGCAACGCTGGTGCGGTGTGTCCTTGCCAATGCTGTGAAATATTTACTTTTGATTTATTTTTTGTATACATTTTGTGCCAGAATAACAGCGAGTTAGAGAATTGCTGTTTCGTGGCATTTTGATAAGGGGGAAAAAGGGCCAACTGATTACTCACATCTTGGTTATGATATCAATGTAGTAGACGTTGTACTCGCGATCGCACTCACGTATGATATAGCTGCCGCACTTGTTGTTATGCTCGTGCAGCTTCATCAGCGAATAGGCACCGCCGATGGGTCCGTGGCAGTGGAGCGAGTCCAGCTCCGCCAAGCTGGGCGTTCGATACGAATGGCACAAGTCCTGCATCCACTTTGAGGACATTCTGTGTTTAATTAAATTTTAATAATTTAATAAGTTTTTTTTTGAATAATTTAATATTTTTTTGAAGGTTTTTTTGTATTTTTTTTAGAATAATTTAATATTTTTAAGAAAGAATTTAATAACTAAAAAAAAATTTAACAAATGATTTAAAAATTTTTTTTTAATAATTTCATAATTTTTTTTTAACAATTTAATAATTTTTAAAAATAATTATATAATTTTTGTAATAATTTAATAATTTTTTTTTAAATAATAAAATTTTTCTTTAATAATTTTTTTTTATCATTTAATATTTGTTTTAAATTTTATGCATTTCTTAAATTTTAATAATTTTTTAGAATAATTTAATATTTTTTTTTTAATAATTTAATATATATATTTTTTTTTTTAATTTAATAATTTTTTAACATAATTTTATAATTTTTGTAATAATTTAATAATTTTTTTAAATAATGTATATTTTTTTAAAATTATTTAATAATTTTTGTTTATAATTTAATAATTTTTTAATATTTTTAAGGGATTATAGGTAAGATGTCGGTGAAAGGGTGTACCTTTTGTATATGCTCAAATAGGAAATGAAGGACTTCATCTCCTTCTCGTTCTGGAATTGCATCTCATAGCCCTTGGGCAGGCCCACAACCTCGAGCCGTACATTGGTGCTGTTAATTTTCGAGATCATGAAAATGTCCTCTATTCTGCCCAAAAGTATCCACTAAAAATAGAAAAAAAGAGATTACATTAAAGGGATTAAATAAATACTGTATGGGATATTTTATAATAATTATATTACTATTATAGGACATATAGTACATATTTTATAGTAATTATAATTATAATAATCATACTTATAATAAGTGGACATAAGTATTATCGATTGAATTGAATTCTAAACCTGTTTTTTATGTTTCTTTTTATTTATTTTATATTTAAATTAGTATTTACCCAAAGGAAATCGAATCAAACCATTGGCTGTCTTATCTGCATATATAAATATATAAATAAAATGGATCTATATATACATATATATATATATATATATATATATATATATATATATATATATATATATATATATATATATATATATATATATATATATATATATATATATATATATATATATATATTTTTTTTTTTTTATTCAAGGCAATCTATAATTGAAACAATCTTTTTACCAAGAACCCATTAAAATATATTATTATTTCAAAATCTCTGCTCAATTGTGACGCAACACTAAATTGGCGTTATCAAAATGTTTATAATGTGTCCCTTGGGAAACCAGAGACTTCCTGCTACATTGGCGACTTCTAAAACTGAGCGATAACAAATCGATAAACAAATCTCGAGAGATTTGCTTTTGGGTTCCTTAAAGACGCGACTCGACTCGCCACTTTATGTAAATGTTTGTACGTTGATTTTATTTATTTATTTTGTGGCTTTATTGAAGCCTGAAGCTGAGATGAAACCTCGGTAATTAAAATCTAATCGTGATATGGAAATTTTATACTTGGTTCCCCTATTTGCCAATAAAATGGAGTAAAATCTAATAGCAAATATGTATGGTTAACTTATTTCCCCATTTAAATAATTAGATCATGTTTTTTATATTTTTAAAATATTTTTAGAATGTAAATCATCAAAGGGAATTTTGCATTTCAGCTTTGATTTAGCACGTTTGTAAATTTTTACAAGTATTTATAAAGATTTATATACAAGAAACTTTTAAAACTCCTACAAAAATCCCATTAATATCCCAATTTTTTTTAACTATTTAAAAAAACCCATTAATATCCCAAAAAAAAAACTTTAAAAAAATCTTAAAAAATTAACTTAAAAAAAACTTAAAACTTGAACTCACCTTAAGTGTCGCCTCGGACGTCACCCTGGCCACCTTGAGGCCCGGCTCCGCCGAGTCGTGTGGAAAGACCCGGACATAGACATCGATCCCTGTGGTGCTGGTGGTGCGTCGCTTGCTTTTCTTGCCGCTGCTGCCACTGATGCTGGCATTGGGGGAGCCGCCATTGGTCGAGGGATTATTGGGATTATTCGTTGTCAGTGTGGATACCGTGCTGGAGGATTCGGTGCTGGCCAGCGTGGATGTTGAGCTGCTCACAACGCTCCTGAGATGGCCGCTGCCAAAGACACCGCCGCCCATCGGTAGATCCTCGTTGGGCAGACACTGAACGGTAACGGTGTACTGTTCGGTCATGTAGGTGGGCGCCAGATGGGACACCTGATGGACATAGTGCCACTTCAGGCGCTCCAAGCTCGGCGAGTTGGCGCTCAGATTGCGAAACACCTCGCGGATCTTGTTGCCCACAAAGAAGCTGTGCGCTCGCCACAAACTGGGCGGTAAATACATCTTGTAGTTTTTCTCAATAGAACGCTCCAGTTGCTCCTCCGGCGACTGCTCAAGCCTGTCGACCATCATGTCTATGACGGCCAGTCCCGTGGACTTGTCCTTGTTGTCGGGATACTTGATCTCCGAGATCAGTTCGTGAAGCAAATCGTAGCGCATCTGCGAGTAGAGGAAGTCATGGCTCCTCAAATCAATCACGTCCAGTTGGCTGTCCAATTCCGGCACCCGGAATCTCATCCGGAAGCAGTAGGTCAGCTGGCAGTGCAGCCGTTCGCCGGGCATCACCCAGGTGAGATCGAGTCGCACCAGTGGACTTGGACGGCGCGATGTCGCGTGCTCACGTATGCCATACAGAAGCTGGGCGGTCGGGGCAATACCCAGGAGGCGGCACATTGCGGTCCGTATATCCTCGCAGGTCATTGTGGGATAGAAATGCTCGTAATCATTGGACTTGTAGTTCCACACCCGAATGGTGCCGTCGTTGGTGTTGACGCTCTGCGAGGAGGAGGCACCGCTGCGCATGGAGGCGTTGGTCAGGCTGGCGCTATCCGCCAGCGAGGTCCGTCCGCTGCTGCAGTCGTCCATTTTGTTGATCCTGTTCCTTCTTCAACTTTATTTGTGTTGCTTACTTTGTGTGTGTGTGTATATATATATGTGTGTGTAAGTGCAACTGTGGTTTCTCCTCAATTCCTTGGCTGCACTTGGCTGGTGGATCCTTGGTTCTTCCTTTTGGGAGGCGGTGTATTCCGCCGGCTCATCCGATGCGGCTCGCGGTTGGCAAACAACTTATTGTATGGAAATTAGAAACCGAAAAGGCAACCTTAGATCCGAGATTCGTAGCTCATAAAAAAAAAACTTTCAGCCGCTGCTGCTGCCCCTGCCGCTGGCGCCGCCGTCGCCGTAGGTGGCGCAGCTTTATTATTATCGCGATCCGTTCGGGGCAGAAGCTAATCTAAGCTACGACCGAGAAGCTGGGCTAAGTAGAAGCTAGACACTACGCACAAATCTTCGTTTTAACAAATAATAAAAAAAAAAACATTCTAGTGTGACCGCTCGTGCGGCTACGCGAATAGTAGGGTTGTCGCCGATTCTTATTTTTAACTCTAATCGATACTTTTATCGATATATTTTAAATATCTGGCATTCCCAGCCAATTTAGCTATTTTCCTACAGGTTCCGCTTCCTTTTCGATGAAATAACACGTTAGGTTTAAAATTTTAATTCGTAAAAACAAGTTTGTTAAACACTATAGATATCATTGTTGATGTTGGTATCGGGTTTACAATACAGTATATATGTATATATAATTATGTACAAATTTGCATCAAAACTGACAAATAAGCGTAAAGTTTGATCGGAACGTATGGCTAAAATTGAAATACTTGTTTAGGTAAGCGTGACACAACACGGATTAAAAATGCCCATAAATTCACTAACACATTTCCCAGTCTACTACACTTATGAGTAAGTAAAAAATACGACGATTAAGTTACACCAAATACACACGAACACGCACACCAAAAGGTCCATCTTAAATATAATCCCGGATAAGATCCTACAAAACTGAAAATATAACAAATTTCCCTAACCTCTCACAACTCCTAGAAATTTCCAAGAATTTTGAAATTAATTTAAATAGTAATTTCAAACTTGCAACGATTTCAGTGGATTTCGAATATCTTGACAGTCTCCCAAGGCAGACTCACTCCTAGTATAGGTAAAAAACTGGATCTACCAGTGGATATTCTGTATGTGATACTTAAACATTGACTTTTTCGCTTCTCTACTGCAGGATCACGCCCTGAGCATGCTGCAGGCCGGTGCACAGATACAGCATGATGATGCTGAGTGCCTGGAGCCGCTCATCGGATCTGTTCTCCGTGCCGGTGGTCGTCGGTTTCCACGACGTCGAGTCCTCATTCAATGTCGTATAGCCCTCGGTTTCTGCATCCAGGGCTATCTTCAGTTTTGTTAGCTGCAAATTACAAAAAAGTATTAGTTTCCTTATTGAAAATAGTCAAAGTTTGGACTTTACCAGCTCATTAATCCTGGCCACTCTCTCGTCAGGCGGTATGCTGGCATACAAGTGCTTGCTGGAGCTCTTGGCCAAGTTCATCAGATCCTCGTTGCGGGTATGCCGAATGATCGGCTCGGTGATAACGATAACCTGCTCCACGCTGAGCAAAGTGCACTCCGTGGGCAGGGTTTCCAGATGTTGGGTGACCCGCTCAAAGGGATTCTGCTGTGAAACAGGCGACACTTCCTCCACAATTGATGATTTTCTAAAAGGAAGATGAGCATATAGATCAAGAAGATCATAAAGCTCAAGATGTTGGTGAAACCAAACTCACCGCGAGGGCGTGTGCTGGGGGCTCGGAGGGAGACTCTTGGAGTTCATCTGCTGTCCACTGCCGGTGAGTGAGGACACAATGCCGGGTATATCCAGGTTGCTTGCCTGCCGCTTGATACCCTGCGCCAGCATACCCGTGATGCTGGATCTGTGCACATCAAGGGAGGCCGGAGCCGGGCTCTCACCTCCCAGCGATGCTGCTCCGCCTCCTCCTCCTCCTCCTGCTTCGTCCACCTGCTGGGCTTCAGTGCCCGCCGGCTGCATCTCCGTATTGTCAGCCTGCGTGATGGTAAACTCCGGCCGGCTAACCACGGTCGTTGGAGCCGCTGAAACCGGCATGGACCCCGAGCAATCCACTGGTCCACAAACGGTGGCATTCTGGCACTTGGCAATGCACTTCTTGTGGCAGCACATGGAGCACTCCTGGCACTGCATGGCGTCCTTCAGCCAGATCTTTTTGCCACAAAAATCGCACTGGGTGGCGCGATGGAAATGCGTTCTCACAAAGCTGTGCGCCCGGGGGGCCACGGCTGCACTCGAGCTCGAAGAGGAGCCGCCGGATATGAGGCTGTCTGAGAAGGTGCTCGTCGACTTGAGGGAGGCCGTCTCGCAGGAGTGATCCTCAGAGGCCACCCGATCGCCGCCTGTCAAGGGGTTTCTGTAAGAGAAAATTAATAATTAATTAAATTATTTAAATTAAAAAAGTCAAACGTAAAGCTCACCTGGCCGGTGAATGGGACTTGGAGCCAGTAGACTTGGTGGCAGCCTCCCCCAGGGTGACATTGGGATTGCCCATCCAGGAGAAACCAAACAAGATGTCGCCAAAGCAAAGATTGGGATTGAAACCCGACTGATTGGACAAGGTATGCGTTTTCCTGGAAAGGATTTCCAATAGAAAAGTTAGTGGGAAGATCCATCTTGGGGGAGGGTCCTACTTACACTGCCTGGAGCGAGGCCGGATTGAGGGCTATCTGCTTGAGGCACTGATTCAGGCTGGTCTCCGAACACTCCACCAGGACCTGGCCAATCTGGACATTGTTGTAGCCCAGCAGGACGGTCTCGCCGGCGGCCTTGCCAAAGACGCAAACGTTGAGGAAGCGGCTACTGGAGTCCAGCTGGAAGCTGCACACATCGTCCATGTGGATGAGAGGGCTGAAGGCGCAGTCTATGGTAGAGTGCTGGAAGAAGTAGTTGACCTCCTCAGCCGAGTTTGGCTTTTCCAATTCCTCCGTCTTGCTCCTGTCTTTGTCCTTGTCCTTATCCTTGTCCTTATCTTTGTCTTTATCTTTATCTTTATCTTTATCTTTATCTCTTTCTTTCTCCCTATCCCGCTCCTTGTCTTTATCCTTATCCTTATCCTTCTCCTTGTCGCCGCTCTCCCTGCTCATGGTCTTCTTAATGGCCTTGGCTATCAGGTTGGACTTCTTGGGCGAGTTGGAGGGTGTGCTACATAGACCTGGCTTCACGGCCAGGTGCTTGGGCGCCACCACCACCTCAGCGGCATCAGCCTCAGACTCTGGTCGCAGCGGCATAACGGGCAGGTCGCACAGATCATCGTACTTCTCGAAATCCTCCAGGATGGCATCGTTGCGTATGATCCCCGGAATGACACGCTCGATCCTCAAACTAAAGACCGTGGCCTGCAGTGTCTTCACCACCTTGGCAATCTGCTGAATGGTAGTCACTGGCCTGCCCTCAATGGCCACCAGGACATCGCCAGCTAGAAGGTTACTCTTGCAGGCTGGAGTATTTGGGAGGACAGACTCAATGCGCACCACCTGGCTGCCACTTTGCTTGAAGACAATACCAATCTGTTGATTCTTCGCCTTGTGGATGAACACATCCAACGAGATGAGCACATGACGGCTATCCCGCTGCTGGGCCTCAATGAAGGGCACGGGGGCCAAAGTAATAGTGCAATAGGTGCCACCAACACCAGGAAATGGCATCAAGCGGGACAGCTCGGCAAGGCGAACGGTGAGCAGGCCATTGGGCTGGATGTCACAGTCGCCGGCCTCCTGCTCCTCGGCGGTCCAGTGGAAGAAGGGTTTGTAGCGCAGCTTATAGTTGGGCAGCGTGTGTTTCCTTCTCACCGCCTTGCGGATCTGATTCGAGATCAGATTGGTGATATTCGATTGCATCTGGCGACCCTGGTACTTGGACTCGATGTCTAGGATAAGCTCGGGATCGCCCAGAAAGCTCAGAGACCAGTGGGTGTAGGGTTTTCGGGTGAATTGCAGACGCGCGGTGCCAGATAGTTGCTTCACTGTGGACGAAGACAAGGGAAATTGTGAGGAAAATGAGAGTTTATAAATTTAAATATTAAAATATATTATTATTATTATATTTATTGTTTAATATTTATATTTTTCATCCAACTCACCTTTCAGCGTTATAGAACCCTTCTTGCCCAGCACCATATCCGCATCTATAGACGTGGAAAAATTGCCCACATAGTTTATGTCCAGCAGTAGATCCAGATTCTCAATGCGCTGCTCGCCCACATCCAACTCCACATTGTGCACCGACAAGGACTTGATGTCCGGGAACTGATCCCCCAACTCCAGCTCCTTGATCTACCAAAAGAAATAATCTTTATTTCTTGGAACTAATGATCCCCCCTTAATGACCCACCGTGAGCTTGTCGAGAAGCTTGCCGGTGGTTGTCTTGGTTATCAGTTCATCCAGCTCAATGGACAGCTTGCGGTAGAACCATTTGCGGACACGGTTCGAGTTCTTGAACTCATGGAAGAGGAACTGCATCACAAAGTTAAGGGAAATGAGAGCCGAGGCGCCCTGAAGGCTATCCTGATGATTCTCGCAGCCGTTGCCCGAGCCCGAAGCCAAAGGTGATGCCTGGGCGGAGTTTGGTAAGCCCTTAAGATTGCGAGCTGTCTGTTTGATGTTCTGGAAAATTAATTAAAATATTACTTAATTAATTTCTTAATTAATTAAGTGTTTGTATTTATTTACCATGGGCAGCGTGTACTTGGCATTCATTTGCTTCTGCTCTTCGCTCTCATCGGGCAGATTGGAGAACTTGATAAAGATGAGGTACTGCAGCAGGATCATTACCACCCCGCCGATCAGCAGGAAGATCAGGCAGAGCAGCAGTATATTCGAAATGGGTATCTCCATGCTAGCAACACACACCTGTCCCTTCGTCTGGGGCTTCCCACGCTCTCTCTCTCAACTGCTCACTCTCTGGGGGATTGGTAGACTCCTTGGACTCTATCTCTGGGTCTTTGGAGCGGCTGTTGCTTGGCTGTCGTCTCTCTGAAGTGGCCTCAATTACCTACTGATTGCTGTGCTCGCATCCCCGCCCATGGTGTGCGGTGGTGCACATGAAGTGGAGCTTTGCTGGAGCTTCAGCGGAGCTGCTGTCTCTATATATATCTTTTTAGGGGTATTATCTTTGGCGGTGCTGCTAGCTAATCACTCCATCCATTTGGGTTTGGCTGGAGGGCTCTGTCTGTTGTCCAGCTAATAGCTGCCACTCGCAATTGTTGCAACAACTGGGAAACTACAAAATCGATATGTTCTCGCTGTCGGAGCCTCTGTGTGTGCCGTGCCCTGCCCTGCCCTGCCCTGCCCTGCCCTGCCTGCGCCTTTGCTGCTCCATTGGAGGAGCCACTGCGCATGTCCACCGGATCAGCTGTTGGATGATGGTCTTGCCAAGAGGGCAACCTTGCGGTGTCCAGCTGTTTTTTTGGAAGTCGAGCTGGGAGTGGGATGCACTTTCTAGGCTATTCTGGCAGCTTTGGGGGCTCTGAGTTGGAGGAGGGGCTTTTGAAAGAAACAAGACTTAATTTTTTTTTTTGTTAATTTTTTAGAATTTTGGGAAAAATCAAAATTTAAAAATTCATAACTCACCCAAAAATGCATTAAATTTCATTCGGAAAGCGGTTTTGTGTTAGTTTTTAATAGATTAATAAATCTGCATTTTAAATTTAAGTTTAGTTGAAATTTCATTTTGGGCCAAATTTCAAAGATTTTGACGATGTAACCCCTTATCAAATTTTGAAAAAAAATTTGATAAAATATTTTTTCCTCTGAAATGGCTAGAAAGACGCGCCTGTTAATGCTGATCAAGAATATATATGATTTATGGGATCGGAAATGACTGTTTCACTTAATAAAATCAGAATACCCCTTAAAAATCTGTTTTATAAGTTTAAGAATTAAAAATAAAATGTATTAAAATTCTCTCAGTGCTTTTATTTTCATGCTTCATTATACTAAAGGAATATTACTTAATATAATAAATAATACTAAGCAATTACCGGTCCCTGAGAATCCGAATCCTCGGGTGGAGGGGGCGCCGCACCAACATCTCTCTTTCTCTCTCACTTTGTACTCCCAAATCGCCAGGCCCATGATGGGGCTATCACAGTGTTTTGTGTGTGTATGCTCTATATATCCCATCACCTAGATGATAAAGGCTGTAATCCAATCAAGAAACTTGGCCACATCCGCATAGATCATATACTGATTCCGGCAACAATGCTGCTGCTGCTGCTGCCTGCGATTCGATTCCGTCTCCGGCAATGCCGGCAGAGTTGCCGAGACAGTGCCCCGCAGCATCCAGCGGTTGTTCTTCAGGATTAGGAGACCGGCACCCGAAATGCCCGTAAAGACACTGGCACTGGCACTGCCCCCCGGATGCGTATCCCGCGCCTCTATCTGGATGCCGGCACAGAAGGTGCGGTTCGAGGACAAGCTACGAAAGTGGGCATTGGCCCGGAAGCACTCTGCATTGCCGACGACTGGAGCATTAACCACCTTGGGTGTGCTGGTGGTATCTTGTGTTATCTTCTTGATGGGGCTCATCGTTGGCGCTGTGTGCTGTTGAGCCTGGGATGCATTTGATCTGTCAAAGCTCCAGCCAATGACGAGGCCATGTTCACCAAAAATATATTCCGCCTTGCTGGACCCAGACCACAGGCAAGCGGGTCTAATGAAGGTATTGAACCTGCAAAAGGAGAGTTAGAAAAGGTAAACATTTAGAGATATACACTCACCTAACTTCATCCTTGAGCATAATCACCGCAATATCCGCATCGTAGCTGCTCAGCTGGCTGTTGTAGTCGGGATGAATGTAGATGCCATCGACTGGTGCCGCCAAGGAACCCTCCTCATTCCAGTTTTTCAGATTGTGTCGGCCCAGAAAGACCAACACCTCGTTGGATGTGTAGCGCATATTGAACAGACGGAAGCAGTGGGCCGAACTGATGACGGCGCGGGCCGAGATGAGGGTTCCGCCGCACTGGAAGTCCAAGGAGGTGAGATTGTTCACATAGATGGCCGCCAGCCAGGGCCAGGAACCTCGTGTGATCGATGGCAGGCCTTCGTCTGCTCCTCCTGCTACCTCGCCAGTTTTTGCCAGATCCTCCTCCTCCTCCGTCTCCGCCAACTCCTCGTCCTCTCCTGCGACATGCTCCATTCCCTCATCATCGTAATCAGCAAAAACTGGCGATGTGATGGCATCATCGGAGCTCCTGGAGCCAAGCTCGGACCTTTGCTTTGGCAGCCGAAAATCAAGACCTCTATCTATACGCCCGCAAATGTCCTTGGGCAGGTGGTGGTGGTTGAAGGGTTTTCTGCAAGATCCAGGACATTAAGTAAGCGCCATGAATGCGACGAGGAGCGAGTGCTTTCAACCGACCAAAATCCGGGATGCATACTTCTTGAACTGGATGTGCGGCGGCGGCGGCGTGTGTGCTTGGCTTGGCTTTCCGAACGTCTCCTCGGCGGCCTTCACGTCTTCATCGGCGTCCATGCCTAGGTCCATGAGCAGCGAGCCGGAGTTCTTTTTATCCGGAATAAAGGTAAGCTTCCGTATATGCTCCAGCTGGATTTGGGTCATGAAGATGCTCTGCTCTGTGTGGGCGGGGGAAAAGAAGATCAAGGATCAGGTTAAACGGGTGATCCTACTCACCGCCAGTTCCAAAGCAGATCACCTGGTTGTTGGCCGAAATGAGCAGCACCTTGGGGGGATAGTGGTGCTTGGGAAAGCGAATCTTGTACAGCACCGGCGCCTTCTGGCTAAACTGTCCGCGGGTGAGCAGCTCAATCTCTCCCAGGTAGTTCTGGGGGAAGAGTTTGAAGGGAATTAGTAATCCCTCCATTTGGAGCCTTGTCCGTTCCTTACCGTGGTGGGCTTGCCCCGCATGGAGAGCGTAACGCGTATGTGGAGCGGCATCTGGCGGGCATCGGGACTGCGGACGGCCATTAGGCCAAACCATTCGCTGCCGTCGTATCGGTACTGGAAGATCTTGGGACAGGGGCTAACCGGCATGCCCTGGGCCAATGCTCTCGGCATCAGGATCAGGATCAGGATCAGGATGATTGCCGTCGGTTGGCACCACCTCATCTCAGTGTTCGCAAAGGTAAACATCGGTAAAGTAAACAACTGAAGGAGAGCCTCATGCCGCCGGCTGGGAGCTTTAAAGCGTCGCTACCGGAGCTGCCAGATGGGGGATTCTAGAGATGTTCCAATTTAAGCGATGTTTAACGTATTTTTTTTTTTTAATATTTATTATTGGTGATTTTATAGTTTATAATATTATAATTATTATAATTAAAAATTTAATTAAAATTCTTTAATTATATTTTTTATATTTAAAAGCTTGAATTAACATTAGTTTGGTTTTTTTTTATAACCAAACCTTATAGATCTATTTAAATAAGAAAGTATATTTATTTAAATGCTTTATTAATTACATACATATATTTACACAAAGTAAATTACAAGTCCAACAAAATACAAAAAAAAAATTAATCTAAATTATAGCAGACTTAAAATCAATAAATCCCCTAAAGAAAATCGTCTTCATCTTCCCCAAAATTCATGTTGGCCTCGTTCTCCTCGTTGCCAAATAGATGCTCCAGATCCTGCTCCGCTTCGCCCTGGACCGTGTCGGCGGTGAGCAGCTGCTCATCATCCTCCGGACACGCCCGGCAACGACTCTCGTTGATGCCATAGTTGAGGCAATTATCGCCGACGCACTCGCAGCAGCCGTCATGGAACCATCGATAGCTGCTGGCTCCCATGCTCTCGCACTGCTGCCGGCACTTGTCCGCCCGGATGCAGGAGTTGACATAGATCACGGTGCACATGTTGCTAGTTCCAGCTCCTGCTCCTGCTCCTGTTCCAGCTCCGCTGTCACTGTGTCCAGCGCTATTACCTTGAACCCGCTGCTTGAAGCCGGCTCGCATTTGAAAGCGTATGGTCGACCATTCCTCATCGTCCTCGGCGGTAAGGGTGTCGAAGAGCTCGGGCAGGCCCTCGATATCCCCGATCTCCGAGCGCAGGGTCAGCGATGGCAGAGCGTCCTTGTGCTTGGGACACATGTCCAGGCAGCCGCAGCACTCGGTGAATAGCTCACCCAGGCAGTTCAGGCAATCCTTGCAGCAATGGCAGTCGTTCAGCTTGCACTGGCAGCTCTGGGTGAGCAGGCACTTGGACACCACCGAACCGCAGACCACCTCGTTGCAGTCATCCTCGTTGGATGCCGTTATCAAAGGGATAACACCGCCGAGGAGGAGGAGCAGCAGCAGCGGCAGGACACAGTAGGACGGCACTTGCATATTCGTTGAGATCTGTGGCAACAATGATGCATTACGCATCATTGCAACTCGACTATAAGTGGCTCGGGTGTGGACAGGTAGGTAGCCTGGCCCTTGTCACTGCAGGTCACACAAATACCGTTAATCCGCAACGACGCCAGGTAGACTGTTCCGCAACAGACGGGCGGGCGGGTAATTTAAAACCAGTTAGTGACCGCCGCAAGGATCATAAAACATGGCCAAAAGCCTCGGCAAGGATTTAAAGTCATAATATCCTTGAAAGTTTCAGGTCTGTCCAGGTCACAATCAGTTGGTTTTCAAGACCATGACCACTCCTATGGCAACAATAAAATATGAATTATAAAACATACGTAAGGTAGGAGTCGATAGCTAAAATTGTAGGGGTAAAGATACATATAAATACACTCGTAAAAATATTTTTCTATATTTATGAAAATTCCTTTCTTAATTTAAAGCCGAATTGCATTTATTTTTCTCGTAATTTTCCATAAAAAACCATGGGTAAAATTTCACACTTGTGCCTTTATAATTCCCAACTGGTTCTAGCATCCTCGGAATGAAGTGACGGCTGCTGGCCATAGATTATACAGTGATGATCATATGTGTATATGTGTTTGTGCTGCTACATATATGTATATGTGCTATTAGATGGTTACTTTGGAACTTGTTGTGGAGTTCAAGGTGCGATCTTTACCTTATTATTTTGTTAATTTTTGTATAATTTCATTCAATTTGCCTGTTGATGCTAATCAAGTTTTACGTTTGTGTATTGCAGAGCATTGAACAGGCAAAGGAAATCGCTGACACAAATCTCAGAAAATGTCAGGGATTCCAAGAAGGGGAGAACACTAAATCCTTTGCCTGGACGTCTGCCGGAACTGTGAATGTGAATGCTCTTTGATGCCATGGGCCCCACCGCAGGCGGGCATGAGACTCTGCCGGTGGGAGGTCGACCGGGTCGTCGTCGTAGATATACCTAGCCGCCTCCTAATTACCAACTATGGCTGGCAGTGCGCATATGCTGACTGCTATCAAGCACGTCATCAGCCGCAATCGGCGTCATCGGCATCAGTGCTGTGTGTGCGCTTATCTTTGGAGCAGAGAGCCCAGTGCCTAGAGCCCAGAGCCCTGAGAGCACCCCCGCCGGTCCCAGGTGCTATCTATCTATCGGCTATCAGTTTCGTTCAGACTGTGGCAGCTGGTGCATCTCATCCGTCCTACATCCGCCTGGCCGCTGGTTGGGCCAATAGATGCAGCAGTTCTCCATTCCCGTGGGTGCTCCCAATGTGACTGATTCGGCAAATTGTGCATTGATTTGTAGTGGCAATAGAACCAAGATGACCATGTCCGCACCACAACAGCTAAGCCATGGCAGGGTCGTCCCACTAACCGACTCCGTTTCATCGTCGACAGGATGCTTGGCGGAGTGGGAGCTCGTCGCAGAAGGGGCTCATCACCGATGGCGCGCTTGACCACTGGCAGCAACATCAACAGCCTGGATGATAATATAGCCATCATCGGGGATGGCGTCATCCGGCGGAGTGCACACTATGGCACCCAACAAGCGTCCAGCAACAGGAGGCGACGACCCGTAATGGGAGCCGGCGGCAATGGTCAGGAGAGCTTTGCTCTGGTCCAGACGCGACCCAATTTGGGTGATATCATGTGAGTAGAAAAGGGATCTCTAAGGATTACTAGAAGATCTAGAAGTTTTCTAGAGTTGAAGCTGAATCGATTCGGCTTTTACGCTATTTTTTTATGATCTGTTCTTTGGCGCCCTAAATGTTAAATTTTTGATTTCCCTAGAGGCCACCAAAAACATTTTACCAGCTTTTTAGAACAAATAACCGGGATATACATCCTTTTTCTTTAATTTTCAATGCGCTGAACTCAAGTCCGGTCTCAGAGAATTTCCTTTACGTGAGGGTTTAAAATATTTGAATTTAAATGGTAAAAAATACGGGTTTTGGGTACTTTTGAAGTTTGAAGCTGTAACAACGTTTTGTTTTTGTTATAAACAATGCTTACGTCATCTTAAATAGCTGTTCTTGTCCTTAAAACTGAGTTTTTAAAGTGTAAAAAAATTATTATTGGTTTCCGAGACCAAATAAACCCAAAAACTTCGGTTTTGTACTTTTAAGTTTAAATATTTCAAAACAATTTACGTATAGGAAATTATCTGTGTTATATGACATCGCTGTCTGCGAACATCAATCTAGTTTTCTTACAATTAGCTCCTTTAGTAGATCCTCTTATATTTAGGTAAAAAAGAAAACAAAGAAATATGTTCCTTCTTTTCTTATCCTAGTCTTTTTTTAATATTTGATTATATCGCAGCTCGATAAACGATTTTCAAAGCACTTAATTATATAAATTAATTATAGAAATTGACTAAGATGATTTTTTATAGGCAGCCCCGGGCCATCTTAGTCAATTTCTATTATTAAATAACAAATAATTAATTTAAATAATTAAGTGCTTCGACAATCGTTTATCGAGTTGCGATATAAATAATTTTTAATTTATTCTGCGCCAAAATCGAGGTGGCAAAGCTTCAAAGCTCCACTTTATAGTCCATTGGCAGCGGTAACGGGAACAGGACACTTGCTGTTCCAGTCATCTTACTTGCACTCACTGCTCAGCGCTTTGCACTGCGATGTTGTGCCCTATGACCTACTCGCTCTTTCGCCGAAAGTTGAGCTTGTGGGTCATTTGGTCGAAGCTTGGGCCGGAGCTTTCGGCTGGAGCGCAGAGCGCAGGGCTGCGCCGTCTCAGCCGCCTGGCTACGTCGGTGTGGGTGCCTCTCGAATCCGTGTTCCATGTCCGTGGCCGTTAGCGCGCGCCTGTAGTGGTAGTATGTGATACAAAGTCGCCGAGTTTAGAGTCTCGCGTTTGTTGAGTATTTCGTCCAACTGGTGAGACAAAGTCGGTGGCAGCTCCCGCACAAGCGGCGCTTTTGTTTTTTATTTTTTTTCGCTGCGCTATTATTAGCCCATTTCTGCAATGTGAAGAAGAGTAGCAGAAAAATCGAAGCCCTAAGCTGGCGTTAAATCCCCGATTCTGTGGATTCTCGGTGGTGCTCTATGTGAAAAAAAGGAAGAAAGAAAGAAAGGAGAAAAAAAACCGAATTCGACATTTCGAAAGTTATGATGTGTGTGCGCTGGCATCCGAATCCGTGTCGAGTGGTGAAAATAAAACTACAAACATCCAAACCGCAGAGAATAAGGGAATAAGCTGAGAACAAAACGGGGAAAACGGCAAAACGGCGAAGAAAACTAAATGGCAAAAACGTCAATAAGACGCGACGTTAATGGCAATGGCCACTGTATTGGCGACAAAAGCCAAGTGACGGCCAAAATACTGCAGAAGGCGACGGCGATTCCTGGTCTCGGTCAATAGGCCGAAAAAACAGAAGCCCAAATTCCGATTTCAATTCGAATTTCGAATTCCAAAACTAAGCCCAGAGTCCCGTTCTAAAGTTAACACACACACACACACACTGACGCACGCCCTCGGCGAAAGCTACTCGCCTGTGTGTGCGTGCGTGCGTGGGGATTGGGATTGGGTCAGCGGGTCGCTAGCACAACGGGCGGAACGTTGCGTTGGAAGTGGGAAGTGGATATGGAAGTGGCAGTGTGGCCGTGTGGAGATGGAGAAGGAGCTGCGGAGCGCCAGAGGATTTTGGTTTTGGGTTGCATGCAAGCGGCGGCGGCCTATCGGTGTATCGTGTGTTTTGTGACGTGTACACGCGTAGGAAGGTGAATGAATTGTGGCGACGCAGCAGCAGCAGCAGCTCACCAATACACACTCGCGGCACTGTGGCGTGTAATTGAAAAATATTGAAATATGTACACATGTGCCGTAAATCATTTTCCTAGGCCCACAAATATTTACTAGTCGTGTTTTCCCCACAACACACACACACATATACGCGCGCGCGGACACTCGGAAACGAATCGGATACGAATTCCAATCATATGCCCTTCTCCAAGTGCCCCACGGAAGTGAAAATTGTGTTTCTGACTTTTCCCCCGAACGCACGCAATGTACAAATGTACAATGTACAATGTACATCACTGTACAACAAGCATTTGGGAGCCTGCTCAGCCGCCACTAAAGGCACATTAACCCTTGGTACCACCAGCTATTATTTCGGTTTCAGCCTGTTCATTGCAGTCTTTTATATCTCATTAGTTGAGCTGAAATTAAAGAATTTTCGCGTAGAAACCTACAGCTTAGCTTGCAACTGGCCCCAGAAAGTAGGCAACTGTTTATATGTAACAATCCCGTTTCTGCGTCTAGCAATGCTGCCAGTATGCAAGGAGGTGTCATCGCAAGAACTACTCTCTTTTAAGGACGATAGCTCAGCTATTTTTGGCAATTACAAGTTCGTTGGTCCTAATGTCGCCCTATTGTGCCAACAAACATACAATACACATGCATGTGTGTGCTTCCATAAATTCCAAGTTCCAGAGACATCGGGAACAACAAGAAAAACAACAAACTACTAAAAGTCGGAACAACAGAGCCTGCCTGGTGACGTCACTAGAATAAAGTTATACCCCAGGAGCATGAATAACGGAATGCGGCCCCCGTTTGTGCGTTTGTGAGTGTGTGTGTAAATATGCCATGTGGTTTTATGGCAATTAATAGACGAGCAACTGCCAAATGTAAACAGATATTAAGACCTAGGCCCGGATTTCGTCGTGATTCGCGTGATGTCGTTATCGATACGGTTTCCGAAATTAGTGAGCGGGTTACAGCCGGTTCATACTTGCGCGTGTGTGTGTGCAGTGTGACGGTGAACGAGTGCGAAAGAGAGAGAGGGAAGGATGGTGGGAAATTGGCAAATGGCAAGTTTCTGTTATCAGAACACGGGCTAATTAAGTAATCAGCGCCGATATGTAAACATATGCATCAACACCCAAAAGTGTGCTATAATCTCCCCTTCCATCTGTGATTTTTGTTTTTTTATTAGAAAAGGTAAACATGTTTTGGAAATGTAAAAATGAAAATTGCTGCTGGCTGTGTCGCTTTCCGTTCACTTCCAGTGATGTCGA